CCTTGTGTTCCAGACCAACATCATTACAAATGGAAACATTTGGTTCTATCTTCTCGTATGTGCTTGCCACAGAAATAATAATTGCATCTAGGAATTGGTTACCATTTCTCCATTCCATAGATATGTCACACTTCTTACTTGTGACCCAATATAGCTGACATCACAATCCCTTCCCCTATGGTTAAGTTGCGCAAAACATGTTTGGGCTTGATTAGCAGATTGTGCTGGTCACATTCCAAATATAACAGAAATGAGGCTCAATTATTATTCCATGAGTAAGTATTAATGTTTCTATTGGATATGATACTGGAACGCAGATCTTGTTTTTTTCTTAACATATTGTCATTAACATATCAAAGAAATCCACTCATCAATTAAAAGGTAAATGCAATATGGCTGAAGTCAGCTAGTTTGGATTGGAGCAAGACTTCCAGGCCACATATGTATGACTTCTCACACCTTACAGAGCTTTTGATTAATAACATGATAAATTCATATGGTAAACCATATGCTCCCTTTCACATTTCTATGCAATTCACACTACCCCTTCTGTCATCTGATCTTGCAACCAAGTGGCCAGTTCATATCTGCACTACATATATTATATAAAATGGCAATATTCTATAGTGCAAGAATGAATTATGCACCCTTGGCGTGACACTGATGACTTACTGTTTTTTGTCACAAACCCAAACTCCTCCTTGCCAGCTATTATGTTGGAGTTTGCAAATTATGGAGCTCTATCAAATTTTAAAATCAACTACACTAAGTCAACGATCTTCAGTGTATCCATCCTGAGCCAGAAGGCCAAAGACCTCAAAAAGTGGTTCCCTTTCCAATGGTCAGACCCTGCTTTAAAATATCTGGGCATCCAGATAACTAGAGATCTAACACAACTCTTCCAAGCGAACCTCCAACCACTACTAACCACCCTATGCAAAGACCAAGAGGAGTGGTCCAGGCTACATCTCACATGGTTCGGCAGGGTGGAGTTATCAAGATGAACATCTTGCCAAGGCTTTTATACCTTTTACAGGACCTACCTATCACCATACGCAAGGCATTCTTTACCTCCCTCAACTCACTGGTACTTAGGTTCATCGGGCAAAAACTCAAAGCACTCGTTAAACACGATAGCCTCACTCTGCTAAAGCCGGAGGAGGGCCTGGTCCTACCCGATTTTAAATTATACTACCACACCTCTTACACCCTGATGATAGTGGAATGGTTCAAACGAGGAGTTCAGAAACTGTGGAAGGATGTCGAGTCGGCCCTGCTCACCAGACCAATTAATGTCCTCCCATGGCTAGATCCTCCTCAGAGCCAGAAAATGGCACTTCATTAAGGCTACTATACAGATCTGGCAGTCGCAGGCCACTAAACTCACTCTCACCACATGCCCATCCCCTTTACTACCAGTGACACACAACTCCACCTTCCCCTCGGGTTTAGAGGCCAGGGCCTTCCAGAGACTGCTGGGAGACCTGCTCCCACAAATCCACCATGTCCTCCATGAGATCTGACCTTTAGCCACTTTGGCGGTGGTGAACTCCCTGAACTTCAGGCATTGCTTGACCCCGGCGTACCAGCTACAGCTAGAGGATACCCAGACAGGGTTGGAGCTTTCTATAGGCGACTTAGGCAGTCACCCAGGGCGCAGTTTTGAAGGGGCGCCTTGTGTTGCCAGCGCAGCACCCCTCATGCCGCAGCCGCCTTCATGAGGCATAGACAGGGCTGACGCATCCTTTAGGGCGCACTGGCTCTGTGGGCGCAAGATACAAGTGACCTGGCAGGAGGGAAGCACACAGCATGGACTTACAGGAAGGGCTTTCTCAATGAGTCAGTCCATCAGTCCTGCCAGGTACAGGAAACAGAAGTTCCTGTACTGCGATCCGTGCCGCCTAGCCACACTACTCATGGAGGTAGGAGGTACACAAGGGAAGGGGAGATACCACCAGGGGGGAGGGGAGATACCACCAGGGGAGGTGGGGGGGAGGGGAGATACCATCAAGGGAGGAGAGGTAGAGGGGGTAGAGGGGAGATACTCCCAGGGGAGGGACGAGGGGAGATACAACCAGGGGAGTGAGAGGAGAGGGGAGAGGTCACTAGGGGAGAGGGGAGAGTGACCACCAGGAGGGGGTAGAGAGAGAGACAACTGGGGGTGGGTAGAGACCACCATTGGAGGGGGAAGGAGACCTCCAGGGGAAGGAGAGGGGATAGACCACCAGGAGAGGCGGGGAGAGACAGACCACCAGGGGAGTGGAGAGACCATCAGGAGAGAGGTGAGACAACTAGGGGAGAGGGAGGGAGACCACCAAGGAGAGTGGGGGGAAGAGACCACTTAGGGACAGGGGAGGGGGGGAGAACTCTAAGGGAAAGAGGGACTAAGTGCACTAAGGGACAGGAGTGGAGGGAAGTTTACTAAGTGACACACAAAAGGGCTAAGGAGGGAGACGCATAGAGGGACCTGGGGTGGGAGGAGAAAGACACACAGAGGGGCCACAAACCCTCTCTTTCACACTACACACATACACAACGCATCCTTACACATACACAGAAACACACAATGCTACACACACACACCGGGCCACCCGATGGATATCTCTGAACGGGGGCCCGATCAGGTGCCATGGCCCTTTAAGAGCCGACCGGGCCCCTGTAGTTTTAGCTGGCTTAGAGGAAGTGACAGCCGATCACTTCCTCCCAGCTTCAGAAGAGAGCACCACGGGAGGAAGGAGGTGGCCGGATTCAGCAACATAGGGAGGAGAGGTAGGAATGAGCTGCTGCTCATTCACACTCCCATCAGCTTCAGCCAGCACCCAGAGTTGAAGATTAGTGTGTCAAGTCCCTGATCCTCTCCTCCTGGGTGGCTGCAGCTAAGATAGTTTTTAGAAAAACTTAGTTAGGAGCCACCCTACTCACTCTCCCTGCCCTGCCCCCACTCACTGCTTCTCTTCTCTATGCCCCCACTCACTGCTCCTGCTTTGCCTTCCCCCACTCCCTGCTTCTCTTCTCTGTGCCCCCACTCACTGCTCATGCCTTCCCCCACTCACTGCCTTTTTACTTTGTGCCCCCACTCACTGCTTTTAATTTTTTTCTGTTTAGATGAGTTTCATTATTGCTGCAATTGCATTTAAGCACAGTGTTTATTTTTTAATTTTTCTTATTCTTTATTTTTGTTGTGCACATATAACAGTACAGGCTTGCCTTGCCACAGCAGCAGCATGCACAAGAATTATACATAATAGAGAACGGTGTGGCTTCCAGAAGACGGCACAATTTTTACAATTTTAGTAAATTAACTTGTATGTAGACATAGCACATTTTTAAATGTAATGAGTAAACACGTAGATAAAAGTAACACAGCTAAAGGAGTATAACAGGATAAACAAAAAGACATATCATATGCATTGATGATAAGTTTAGCAGGCTTGAAATTTAGGTGAAGTAACCACTGGGTACTTAAAGGACCACTCTAGGCACCCAGACCACTTCAGCTTAATGAAGTGGTCTGGGTGCCAGGTCCAGCTAGGTTTAACCCATTTTTTCATAAACATAGCAGTTTCAGAGAAACTGCTATGTTTATGAATGGGTTAAGCCTTCCCCTATTTTCTCTAGTGGCTGTCTCATTGACAGCCACTAGAGGCGCTTGCGTGCTTCTCACTGTGATTTTCACAGTGAGAGCACGCCAGCGTCCATAGGAAAGCATTATGAATGCTTTCCTATGTGACCGGCTGAATGCGCGCGCAGCTCTTGCCGCGCGTGCGCATTCAGCCCAGGAGGAGGAACGGAGGAGGAGAGCTCTCCGCCCAGCGCTGGAAAAAGGTAAGTTTTTACCCCTTTCCTCCTTCCAGAGCCGGGCGGGAGCGGGTCCCTGAGGGTGGGGGCACCCTCAGGGCACTATAGTGCCAGGAAAACGAGTATGTTTTCCTGGCACTATAGTGGTCCTTTAATAGTATTAAATGGTGACAAACACAGTAAGTATAGAGGCAAAGAAATGCGTGGCATATGCCCCATGGAAACCACTGTAGTAGTCCAACCGATGGCCATCCGACAGTATTCCCCACAGACAAACAGATACACATGCAGACACACACATAAACGCACACGCATATACAGAGACACACACACATACAGGCACACATACATACACACATGCATACAGACACACACACATATACACACACACATACACACAGAGACACACACACAAACAGAGAAACATACATACAGACACACATACAGAGACATACATACAGACACATATACACTAACATACACACATGCAAAATATTTAAGTCACCCTCCTGTTTCCTACCATTTAGGTGCAGGAGGGTGACTTTCCCTGGGGTCCAGTGGTGGCTCAGGCTGATGGGAGTCAGAATTCCCACTCCGACTCCCTCTCCTTCCTCCCGCCCGGCTCTCTCTAATAGCTTGGAGGAGTGACCGGGGCAGTCACTTCCTCCCAGCGTCTGACATCATCACTGACCTGGGCCCCCTGGATATTCTTGCCATCAGGTGGCTCTAACAGCATGGGCTTGTATAAATTAAAAACAAGACCTGCGTGTTGTTCCTACAGGTGTCCAGCTTTAAGCTTTTTTACTGTAAACTGGTGTGCGCAGCATGGGAGGGGGAGTTTTTCTCATTATAGTATTAGTTATGGGGGAGAGGAGGGGGGGGGAGTTATCAAAGAGACACGTGTAAATCCCGATTTCTACACTTTATATGACATAGCTACGCTCATACTTCTGGTCCACAGGACATGCTCCTCGAAAGGAATGTTGAATGTTATTCCACAAGGACCTGTGTGTCCATATGCAAAACTTATGGTTTATGGACCTGTGTGTCTTACAATGTTGTTCTTTTTTCCTGTAAATCTGAAATAAAAAGAAATTTACAAAAAAAAGTAGCATTTAACTTCTCTGGAGATTTATTTATATAGTTATAGTGCAAAAAATCTATCATCTCATTAAACATAGACACATTGTGGTGTGGATGTTCTAATTTGATTCTTTCTGGAAACGTTGTTGCACCGATTCAATTATAGGCTTTGTTTTCTCCTGGATCCACTGCTTGGCATTTTCTACTCGACCCTCGAGATGATCCTCATAATATGTGTTCAGGTATCCACTAGTTAAATTGACTGCTCCTTGCACCCGATCTACTGCTTGCCTGAAAGTTTACAATAACAGTAGCAATGAGTATGACAGGTAACGACGGTGGGCAATCAAAGGCAAGAGAAGTTAACAGAAAGAGAATAACAACTTTGTTTACATTCACTAGCACTGGTGCACATTTCAGTTTTTCCTATTTTTATTTTCTTTATTATTCTTTATTTTTGCAGTGCATTGTTTATCACAAAGTCGTTATTGAAGATACATACAATATTCATTGGGAGAGAGAGACATGTTTTGTAAATATCTGTAACTTTGCACCATTTTTATAAAAGGAAACAATAGCTGGAAACTAGGGACCTTAAAGGGGTTTTCCACAGTACAAAAATGCTTGAACCTGGCAGGCAGGTAGTTGTGATTCCCTAGTGACATGGGAAAACATACACCCGGTGATAATTCGTATTGGTAGATAAAGTAAGTAGGCCGTTCCACTGAATATATGTGAGTGTATAAACATGCTGGAATAAGTTAGTCATAGGATGCATGGACCTCAACAAATGTGGGTAGGGCAACTGGCTTACTGTGGAACGAAAGCGGCGATATTTGCTGGATCCCAAATTGCCCCTGGTCGCTGTTCGGGCAGGCTTGTTGTCGGGAGAGTCAGTCCCAATTTATTCAGGAAGGCCAATGCTCCTGACATCAATTCTAGGATATGAGTAGTCCCAGAGTGGTTTACCACCAAAGAGCCGTTGGCCCTCCATCTGTACGCCATACCTGCAGACCTCAGTTGGGTAGTGACTGAGTTATAGGATTTTCGCCACATCAGAGTGGCTTTGCCTTTCAGAGCAGACAGGATTTGTATCTTTTTCTGTACTGTGATGCAGCGAAGGATGACGTCCTGGGTCGAGGTGAGCTTGGAGAGTGCTATATAGAAACACAATATTTACCATCTATGGCTAGGTTTTTTGCTGCCGCTTTGGGTAGTATGGTGGCCAGAAGGCACCTAATATAATGCACCAATTCTTCCACCGTTATTGTGGAAGGGATGCCTTTTATTTTAATGAGTGCAGTGCTGGCAGTCTTCCATGGATGTCATTTTGGCCGACAGGGCTCTTTGGTGGGTCTTGAGTTATATAAACTAGGGTATATGTTGACAATATTCTCCCCCGAGGCTTTCACCCGATTGCTGACAGCCTGCACTTTGTTCTTGAGGAGGATGGAATCGGCCACTAATAAGCTTGTGAATATTGGACAGCAAGACCTTTAGGTCATATCTGGTGGTTGGGGGCTGAGTAGTCCGTGAGCTCGGAAGTTGTAGGCCTTGTGACCTTGGTAGGTGGTCACAGTCTCCTCATGTAGCGTGACAGTGACCAACTCTGTTGCAGGCAGGTCTTCTGCAGGAGTCCGCCTGTGCTGTGTAGGCATCTGGAGCATGGCTCTGATATCTCTGCCCTCAGCAGTGGTGTAGGGTTTCTCAGATCATCCCCGTCTAGTAGGCATGGTTTTCTGTGTTACAGGCAATGTATTGGCCTCTGCTTCAGCAATTCCTCGACATCAAAGATTGTCGGAGTGATGTAGCCGTTTGGGTTGCTTTTGGTTCAGAAAAAAAGCATCGGTTGATGCAGATTGCCTTATAAGTTATGTTAGAGCCTGGATTGGCTTCAGAAACAGTGATATTAAGAGGATTGTAAAATTTCCTGAGGAGCTGCTGGAGATTTCTTATTAAACTACTATGTTTCAGCAATGAAAAAAAGATTTACATAATCATGGTTCCATTTTCCCAATTTTGTTCCCTGGTGTTCTGCATCTATGGCCACCTAGGACATGAGAGGGATGGCATAGGGTGCAGGTCATGTCTACAGGCTTAATGCAGCAGACAGAAGATGTGAAGTGACTTTTTTACTCCGGCACTGTGTGGGTTAGTGTATCGGTTGGTGGCCTGTGCTCTCAATGCTTTGGACTGGCCCACTGAGATATGTTTTGGTGGTGTTTGATGTAACTGGATGCAGAACACCTGGGAAAAAAATAAGATGGTAGAATAGAACCCTAAATTAGGGACTGTCTTGCTATCTTGGGGGTGTGTGAGGGCTGGTGTCAGTGTGATTGTCTGTGCAGTTGTCTGAGAGCAGGGGCGGACTGACCGGTCGGGCACTTCGGACATGGTCTGGATTGGGGGTGGCATCTGGGGACTTCAGAGGAAGGTGCCACCGGGTGGCCGGTCCGGTGGCACACTGTGAGGGAGCTCCCTGCGGTTCCCACATCCTGTGCTGGGAATTGTGGGAACCGCAGGGAGCATGATAGAGAGACATGCTCCTCCTCCATCAGCGTTAGTGAGAGGAATGCCGCCGGACCGGCGAGGCTGCCACCCGGTCCGGCGGCTCCAGCATGAAAAGCGCCCGGCCCCCTCAGACTTGAGAAAGAGGGGGGAATAGAGAGATGGGGAGGGGGGATAAAGAGGGGGGAACAGAGAGATGGGGAGGGGAGAAAGAGGGGGAAACAGAGAGATGGGGAAGGGGAGAAAGAGGGGGAACAGAGAGATGGGGAGAAAGAGGGGGAACACAGAGAGAGATGGGGAGGGGGAAGAGGGGGGGGAATAGAGAGACGGAAGAGGGGAAACAGAGAGATGGGGAAGGGGAGAAAGAGGGGGGAATAGAGAGATAGGGAGGGGGAGAAAGAGAGGGCAATAGAGAGATGGGGAGAAAGAGAGGAAGGAATGAGACAGAATGAGACACAGGGGGAGAAAGAGGGGGAATAGAGAGATAGGGAGGGGGAGAAAGAGACAGAGAGGGAAGAATGAGACACAGGGGGAGAAAGAGGGGGAATAGAGAGTTGGGGGAGGGGGGAGAAAGAGAGGGAAGAATGAGACACAGGGGGAGAAAGAGACAGAGAGGAAGAGAGATGTGGGGGAGAGAGAGACAGGGAAAGGGGGGAGAAAAACAGTGGAAGAGAGGGAGAAAGGAGAGAGGACATACTCGTTTTCCTGGCACTATAGTGCCCTGAGGGTGCCCCCACCCTCAGGGTCCCCCTTCCGCCCGGCTCTGGAGAGGGGAAAAGGGGTTAAACTTACCTTTTTCCAGCGCTGGGCGGAGAGCTCTCCTCTTCTGATCCTCCTCTGATCCGCCCCGTCGGCTGAATGCGCACGCGCGGCAAGAGCTGCGCGCGCATTCAGCCGGTCGCATAGGAAAGCATTTACAATGCTTTCCTATGGACGCTGGCGTGAAAATCACAGTGAGAAGCACGCAAGCGCCTCTAGTGGCTGTCAATGAGACTGTCTCTGAAACTGCTATGTTTATTAAAAAATGGGTTAACCCTAGCTGGACCTGGCACCCAGACCACTTTATTAAGCTGAAGTGGTCTGGGTGCCTAGAGTGGTCCTTTAAGCATATTGCACAATTGACAGCAAGGCAGAGAGGAAGGATGATGTAGCAACTACTAAATGATACAAATGTTAAGACCTTATGCAACTTACCCCAAAAATGTCCACAGTCCAGAGTTGGTAACTTTTTCATAAACAGGCTTTGTATATGGTCTTACATATTGATCCAATGTACTTTCCAGAATGGTAGAAACTCTCCAGTCATCAGACTGCATGTCAGTGGTGAGCCCCGAGACCTGGATGCCTGGGAGAAGAAGGTAATGGAAAAATCATTGTGAATGAATTGTCAAGGGAAGACCAAACCTTGTGATCCATAGTATTATTCCATTGATCCATTGATTATTTCCTGTAATGGATGGAGAAATGTTATGTTTTGAATTATAGTCTTTGTTAGGCTGCAACATTTACAGGGTCTGTAACCCTTAAGCTGCCATGGACTTATGCTGGTAACCCATACTGCTTTCCATAATCTTTTTTTATGTTCACTGCAGAGAACATACATGAACAATTAATGCAGACCAGTCATGATGAAGTTTAAGAAAGAAGTAGCTTTTTTAATGCGTGTGCATTGTACTTTATGGAACACACCTTTTTCATAGGGGTGTATCCAACAGAAGACAAATTCAACCAGTCAACAAAATTTCAGAGCAAAAATATAGTATCATTTCTCATATAACATTACGTATTACAGTTATTCTACTGCGCATGTCTAGCACGTCTTCTCAAAACTATGCAGGGTTATCTTGTGAGAGAAAAAAGGGAGTAGGTGTGAGACTGTAACTGATTGCAAACAGGAGAGAGAAAATTCTTGCTTTTAACCCTTGCAGACGTGAAAGACTTAAGTAAGACAAAAATACTTTTTAACCCTTTATTTACCCTTATCTATAACAAGTCCCCTTCTCTCTGGTACTGCAGATGAGAGTTAGGCAAGGTATCTCCAGATGTACTAATTACACCTGTGGGCCTCTGATTAGCACTACACCTCTAATTCCTCGCCCCCTCCCCTCCCTCCCACCAACAAACCATCGATGAAGACTTGTCCAGGTGTTTGTAGATACAGGATAATATATGTTATTAAATCCACGTCTCAGTATACAATACATCTATAGGTTAATGCATTTATTTATAGCTCTGTATGTCTAGGGGAATATTCACTAAGCATTGCATAGGTAAAATAATTCATTTTCCATCAGTCTTTCTAAAGCTTTACTGCTGCTATGAGGACTTCCAGAAATGCCATATTGTACCTGTTCTGGCTGTCTGACTGTGATAGAAGCTGTCCTCTCATCTAACATACTCACTACATGTTTTAGCTGAGAGTTTATTGGAGTAAATGTGTTAGATGAGAATGAGACTTCCATTACCTTTAGATAGTTATATAGTGTAGGGTGATCCATAGGGGATCACACTCAATTATGTCCTAACTCCTGAAGAGCGGACGAACAGGGCAGAGCAAGGGTACAGCATCAGTCCACATGTTGCCTCCTCCTTGCTGTGCGGCAGGGGGAACATCCACAGTGCGAAGCATGACAGCAGGTCTTCCTGAGACAGAGAAGAGGTACCACGTAACTGAAATGTGCTGCTTTTAGTGCCCCCTACCCTCACCTGAGTGTGTGTTTGTGAATGTATGTATTTAGCGGTGTGTGCATTTATATATATATTAAGCAGCCTGAGTATTTATGTGTGTATGTATCGGGCAGTGTCTATGTATGCATGTATTAGGCAGTGTGTGTGTGTGTGTGTGTGTAAGGCAATGTCTGTGCATGTATTAGGTTTTGCCTGTGTATATGTATGTGTTAGGCAGTGTGTATGTGTGTGTATGTATGTATGTACTAGGCAGTGTGTGTGTGTGTGTGTGAATTAGGCAGTGTATGTGTAATTGGTAATTGACTAAAGGAAAATCAGGTGTCACTTAACAGTTTTTTATCCTTTTGTTATACGTTGTCTGACTGGTGATTGATAGGACTATGGGAAAATCAGGATTCATTTAAGAGTTCTTTAACCAATTATTTAACCTATTTCTATATATTGTTTTTAATGTGTTGCCTGGAGTGTCCTTTTAAAAGCACTTACCCAAAAGACACACCAGTACCAGACTCCAAATTTGGCAGTTTGTGTGTATATGTATAAGGCAGTGTGCATATGTATGTATTGGGCAGTGTATGTAAGTATTAAGCAGTGTGTGTATGTATTAGACAGTGTGTGTGCATTTTTATGTTTTAGGCAGTTTGTATGTACCTATCAGGTAATTTGTGTGTGTGTGTCTGTCTGTATGTATTAAGTAGTTTGCATGTGTATGTATTAGGCAGTTTGTTTGTGTGTGTGTTAGACAGTGTCTGTGCATGTGTATGTGTATGTATTAAGCTGCTTGACAGATGGTGTAACGGAGCTCCTTGTACTCCGACTGAGTACCCTCCGTTGACGGATGCTCCTAGCGCTTCCTGAGGACTCCAAGCGCTGCAGCAGACACCACAACCACCGCAGACTCCGCAACCGCCGTATCTTGACTGGAGTCACCCTGGATCAGCAGGAAAAAGAACTCTTCCTTCCAGTATGTCCAGCATCCAGGACTGTGTGGTGAAGACCCCTCCTCCAAGGAGAGCAGGAACAAGCTCTTAAAAGAGCTAAGTGACTCTAGGGGAGCATGCATAGCAATCCCCAGTGTGATTATAACAGCTTCCAATAATGAGACAAGGCTGAGGGATCAAGAAGAACTGTCAAAACCTTTATTCCCTTGGGACCAGCCAATATAACATTGTTGTGAAACCTCAATAAAATCACAAACAGTCAAACCATATCAAGAAACACACAGTGGGTTTTTAAAGAAGACAATATTTAACAGTAAATATCTCACCTGCCTGCAGAATTAGCAATATGCAAATGAATATGCAAATGAACCAGTCTTGCAATTCAGGTAGTGCATAGTTGCTACCAACAGAGGGCACTAGACCAGCTCCATAGCCAAACCCACCTAGGGTAGGGAGGAGATGGGGGTACAGGGTGATAAATAAAGCAGGTCTGTCTGGGTGATAGGGAATGGAAGGGGGAGGGAGTATATGAATGTCACAGATGGGAACAAATTTGTATCAGCAAGACCTTGTGCACAACAAAATCCCAGTTGTTATGGTATACAACAAATGCCTACAATTGAGTTATACTGGTGGGCGATATGAATGGAAGGGGTAGAAAGGAAGACATGGGGGAGAGTTAGGAATGGAAGGGAGGGAGGAGATGGGAATGAAAGGGGGGGTGATGGGAATGGAAGGGGGAGGGAGATATGAATGGAAAGGGGTAGCGAGATATGAATGTAGCAGAAAGGAAGCTATTAATATGGATGTATGAATTGAAGGGTGATGAGGGAGATATGGATGAGGGAGAGAGACATTAATGAAATGGGTAGGGGGGGGAGACCTGGATAGAATTGGTAGGGGGAAACATGGATGGAATTGGTAGGGAGCGAGACACACTCTGTACATGGATTGAAGGGTATGACCAGGGAGGTGCGCTGTGAAGGTTTTTCGCACAGGGCACCTAAAGGCCTAAGGCCTGCCCAGAGTATATACTACACTATCAGTTCCTGTCTTATTTTACTCTTTTCATTACATATATACTCAAAGAAATATCAAGGCGCCATACACACCCTCTTGCTATATCTGACTTTGATTTTATCGGATCAGAGAAACACAGGATTTGGGTGTTAGTGCTACCTGCACCTTCTCTCAGTCCACCTGGGATGACTGGTAATTGGTGTAACTGATGGAAAACCAGGTTTCATTTAACAGCTCTTTAACCTATTCCTATACGCTGTTTCGAACGTGTTGCTTGGAGTGACCTTTTAACAGCACTTACCCAAAAGGAACACCAGTGCCAGGCTCCAAATTTGAACTGTCATCTGCATTGTGTAAGAGGAGTTTCTGAAGAAGTAAAAAGACATAAATAAGAATACACATTTTATACAGGTTGGAAAGATCTCTACTTTTAAACAGTACTGTTTAACACAAACCTCCCATCATTAGGAAGTTTGAGATCGGGATTATTGGGCAGGCCTGAGAGGGGGCATCACTAGTGACGCAACTTGTTTCACTGGTGACACCCATAATGGGCAGGCTTGTCTGGTAAAGTGGGGTACATATCCAGAAAGCTACCTACTAAACCTTGCAGAGAGTGCTGCTTATTTAATTGGAATGGAAGGGGGAGGGAGATAGTAATGGAAGGGGGAGGGAGATATCTGACTGCTCAGATAAGGTTTAATTGGAATGGAAGGGGGAGGGAGTTATGAATGGAAGGGGGAGGGAGATATCTGGCTGCTCAGAGAACGTTTTATGTAACAAGAACAATGTACCTTATTTACACAGACTAATTTCTAAACACATTTATTATAGTTTAAAGCGGCACTGTCACACCATACTTACCTTTTCCCAATTGCTTCCTCTTTTCTACTCTGGCTTTCTTTTCCTCTTTTTCCATCTACTTTTAACCAAAATATAAGACAAAGTAGAGTCTGCTTGGCTTTTGTATTTTTCTTACAACTGACACTTTGTGACACTGGGTGGAGCTACCACCGACGCAAACTTTTACAGACACACACACTCACTGACAGGCACACACAATCACTGACAGGCACACAGACTCACTAACAAACACACACAAACACCCACTGACACACTCACATTATTGCACACTCTTACAAATCTGTGCACCTGCCCAGGATTGGCCCTGCCTGTCATTACTTTACTCCTATTGGTGCAATTACTGGATAATGACAATGATTTGCATTCCAGCAAATTCTGATTGGTTAAATTAGAAACCCCTTGGTGGTGACTACAGAAAAGCATATATTTGAGGAGAGTCTTAGGAAGTAGTTTAAGCAGTAAGTATTGCAGTTAACATGTTCATCTCCCATCTTAAAACTAGTGTAACATTGGGGTGCTGTGACATAATGGTGGGCTTAATAAAATATGGCTAAATGGTGGAACTAAATCCCCATATTTATTTGCTAAACCAGGTGATTTTAAGTAGCTTTATAAAAGTAAATACTGCATATTTCGTGTGTGCTCTCCCTTAATCTGTATTTTGGTTGAAAATAGACTTTCAAAATGTAACTGTCTCGAGTATTGCCTACTTTCTTCAAAATACAGCATTAGCTCCAGTTACTTACAGATACTTTAACATGTTCTCATTGCTGTTTTGAGCAAAGGGGACAATTTTAAGACATTTATTTTCCATGATGCAATATAGAATCTAGGGTATAAAAGCATGTACAAATAATAAAATATGAACAATTCTCTTTTTAAGTTCCTTTTTGAATAATCTCTGTATATTGCCACACGAGGGAGTAACAGCTGATAATATGACAATGGTTTTTATACATTTGAAATGTAGGAAAAAGTCCCTGTGTGTCTAACTAATGCATGACTAACTAGAAGATAGTTTATTTCCTGCTCCTAACCTAAATTCTCTATAATTCTCCTCAAACCCATGATGAGCCTAACAAAGACAGATAGCTTTCCTCTGTGTAGACTTAAAGTAGACTTTATCAAAGTTTCTCATCCAAATTCATGCTGTATTTTACTTATATTGTAGCATTATTATTCTTTACATTGCAATATTGTGAGGGGGACATTCACCCAGCATTAGCCACACTCACCTGTCATTCGTCCTCTGTGACTGTCACACTCACCTAGTCCTTTTACTCCTCCATGACAGTCATACTCACCTGTTATCTGTCTACTGTGACTGTCACACTCACCTAATAGTTCACTGTGACTGTCACACTCACCTGCTATCTGTCCTCTGTGACTGTCACACTCACCTAATAGTCCTCTGTGACTGTCACACTCACCTGCTATCTGTCCTATGTGACTGTCACACTCACCTAATAGTCCACTGTGACTGTCACACTCACCTGCTATCTGTCCTATGTGACTGTAACACTCACCTGCTATCTGTCCTATGTGACTGTCACACTTTCCTAATAGTTCTATGTGATTTATCTGTCCTATGTGACTGTCACATTCACCTGCTATCTGTCCTATGTGACTGTCACACTTTCCTAATAGTTCTATGTGACTGTCACACTCAACTGCTATCTGTCCTATGTGACTGTCACACTCACCTAATAGTACTCTATGACTATCACACACACTTGCCATATGTCTTTTTGAACCCTCACTCATCATTCACTAACTCACTCACTCACATATCATTAATCCATATCATTAATCCATTCTGACTTATCTTTGCCTATAATTAATCATGTGTGACTGCATCACTCACTTATTAGTCAATTCTATACTATTAGCCTGTCCTGACAATTCCTCTCACCTACCATTACCCCTATGTGATCACATATCATTTTATTGCTACACAAATAAAGTCATACATGTTGGGGGCGAAACACAGGTTTTATTCTGGTGCAAAATTCTAAATAAAGACCACTTACCATGGAAACCAGTTGTTAGTAGTAGTATTCTTTATATAGAGTCAATGTATTTCACAGCAACCAATATAAAAAATCTCTTAATATTTAGAAATTTGCAGATAGTCCCTGTATTGCCTAGATAAATCCAAACCTAATGTTTACACATCTGTCACGTTGCTGCAGTGAGCAGTGTCTGATTACATTTTGTTGGTTAATAGGTGTTAGCCTGACAAGCCATTGTTACCCTCACGCTGTCTGCTGTAAATGTCCAACTCACCTTTCTCTTCTGCTCAGTGACAATCCAGCCTTATTGCTTCTGACTTCCAGCCACTATTGCTCTTTTTCAAGTCTCGACAGACATCACCTGATTTGTGTCGACATCTGGTCCTTGACCCTTTAAGCAAACAGATCAGGACTTGTGGTTTACAATTTGTGAATGAAATATAATTGTGGCATAGATCGGCAGATATGCATGCATGCGTTTACAGCTGTTTATTAATACTAGACTTGTGCACAGTGGAGAAATTCAGTTCATCAAAATCGATTTGTCTGAGAAATTTTTTTATTTGGTTTGACCAACTTTTGTCCAAAAGCAAGACTCCAACTAATTCAAAAAAGGTGGGAAAGGACCTGAAAATCAGGACTGTCCTGACAGAATCAGGATAATTGTGTTTCTAGAGTGGGCTTTAGCTGCTAAAATCATATCTGTGAGGTTCTTTAGAACCAGAATGCTATGTGGTTGAAGGGCAACAGAACAACAATGTGATGTATTTATTTTTAAATCAAGTATCTGATTAAAGGACCACTCTAGGCACCCAGACCACTTCAGCTTAATGAAGTGGTCTGGGTGCCAGGTCCAGCTAGGGTTAACCCATTTTTTAATAAACATAGCAGTTTCAGAGAAACTGCTATGTTTATTAATGGGTTAAGCCTTCCCCCTAATTCCTCTAGTGGCTGTCTCATTGACAGCCACTAGAGGCGCTTGCGTGCTTCTCACTGTGATTTTCACAGTGAGAGCACGAGCGTGGAAAGCATTACGCTGAATGCGCGCGCATCTATTCAGCCGAGAGGAGGAGCTCTCCGCCCAGCGCTGGAAAAAGGTAAGTTTTAACCCCTTTCCCCTTTCCAGAGCCGGGCGGGAGGGGGACCCTGAGGGTGGGGGCACCCTCAGGGCACTATAGTGCCAGGAAAACGAGTATGTTTTCCTGGCACTATAGTGGTCCTTTAACAAAGCAGCGGCCTGATGTAAAAAGATCACCTGTATAGTACTCCTCCAGGCTGCTAAGGGTGGTCCTCACTCCTCACCCCTAGTGACAGCTAAGAGTGAGTGCTGAGCAGAGGGCCTGTGGTGTACCTCCATTGCTTTGGAAGTGATAGGATGGTCCCCAGGCCTGGTGACAGCTGAGCAGAGGGCCTGTGGTGTACCTCCATTGCTTTGGAAGTGATAGGATGGTCCCCAGGCCTGGTGACAGCTAAAAGGGAGTGCTGAGCAGAGGGCCTGTGGTGTATCTCCATTGCATCAAGTAGTAACATAACCAAAGTAACTAATCTGCTTCTAAATAGCTCCCTGTGTCTGCTCTGTTTCAGTTGCCAATGAAATTTACCCTAAATCGATCAATAAAATCAGTCCTCTATAAGGGCAAACAACCGGCATCACGGACAGAGGAGAAATAATGGCTGCATCCAGATATTGTGATCCAGCAGAAGGGAGAAGAGATAATAAATATAAGTAATTGCAATAAGGGAAGTATATTCATTAATGTACATGGCCGGCGCTGCCATAAGGTGCACTCTCTGGGTGACCGGCAGAAGGGCACTGCATAGCCCTCCCCTCCAGCCTGCCACAGCATGTAGCATGGCAAAGCCAGGGCCCGGGGATAGAGGAGCTTCTGTAGCTCACTGGGAGAGCTCCTCTCCATGGCTCGGCCACAGCACAGGTAAGCTGAAACATGGGGGGAGAGGGGTATGATACATAGAGGGAGGGAAGAAGGGAGTGAGGAAGGGGAGGAAATGAAACACATGGAGAAATGAGACACATGGGGTCTGGGAGAATGAGACACATGGGGATTGGAGGCATGAAATACATTGAAGCGGGATCACTGCTAAACCGTGAAGTGTCTTTATATAATTGCCAATGTTCCCCATGTATTCGTGATTACTGTGTGTTCTACCTGCTACCTGTTCGGGAGACCTCGTACGAACAAAACCTGTTCATCTCCTGAACAGGCACCACCCTGATACCCCATTTAGAATGTTTATTCAGAATGTTCACTCCTTGCTAATGAGGTGTGAAAATCACAAATCGCAAGGGAAACAAGCGTCTCCTGGGTGGCAGCCAGTTCGTATATATGAACGCCAACCAGGGGGAGCATTCGCGGATTATGTCCCGGCACGTTCGTTTCCTGAACGGGGACCCCCCCCCAATGCCATTTGGAATGTTCATGCCAATCAATTAGAACATTCTCCAACTTGCAACATACGTGCAAAACCACAATAGCAGTTAGCAACAAGTGTGAAACCACAAGGGAAGTAATTAATGATTGCTTCCCCTTGGTTGACCGCCATTTGTATGGATGAAAGCATTCGTATCCCAAAAGGAGACGCTTCCCTTGCCTGGTTTTACACAGGGACTTCACAAATGAATCCCAGGGACACCATTTTGGAAGTTCCTGGGATTGGTGTAGACAGGTCTTTGGGGACTATGGGGGGAGGGGGGGAGCGTTTCGGTGCCTGGGAGCCCAGGAGGTGGAAGTCTTTCCTGTGCTGGGACTCACAGGTACAGAGGATCCTGGGAAGAAGACCCCCTTGCCACGATAAGTGGGAAACCCTGCATTTGGGTGGCGGGAATGGTGGACAAAGGGACCGGAGTTCCTGTCACGCGCAAAGGCCCTTGGGAGGGGGAGGACCCTGGGAGGGGACACTGAGTGGCAGGAACAAGGGACATTGGAACTGGGGTTCCGGTTCTGTTATACGACCCCCGGGCAGGGAAGGACCCTGGGAGGGGACATTGTCTTAATTTGTGTTCCACCCCTTGCATTGGGAAAGTATAAAGAAGAATGTGGCCAATAAAGTTGTTGTTGTACCCCTGGAACTGTGTGTCGTCCAGTTAATGGGGGGGAAATGGGTCTGTGTACCCAGGGTCCGATACATTCATGTGGGGCTTAGGGAATGAGACACATGGGGAGGGAATGAATAGAGGCACTGGGGGAGGAAATGAGACACATGAAGGATCTGGGAGTGAATGAGACACAAGAAGGGGCTGGGGCGAGGAAATGAGACACATGGGGGAGCTGGGGGGAATGAGACACATGGGAGGGGATGAGCCACATGAGGGGCTGGGGGAAACACAAAGTGACAGAGAGGGGCTGGGAAAGAAAGAGACATGGCTACATAGGACAAAAAGAGACATGTGTCCATCAAATTCAGCCTTTCTCACATTTGTTTTTTGCTGTTGGTCCAAAAGAAGACAAAAAAATCCCAGTTTGAAGCCCTTCTAATTTTGCAACAAACTAGGAAATAAATTCCCTCTTGACCCCAGTCAGATTCATTATCATTAAATATTATGTTTTTGCAAGTATGCATCTGTACGGACTCTGATAAAACCACTTCTTAAGGCAGAAAATTCCACATCCTTAGTGGTCTTATAGTAAAAAAAAAAACCTTTCCTTTGCCTTAGAGTAAATCTTCTTTCTTCCAGTCTAACCACGTGACCTTGTGTCCTAGATTTCCACACAGTGGTTTGTATTGGCCCCGGATATATTTGTATAATGTTATCATATCCCCTCTGAGGCGACATTTTTCTAAATAAAAAATGTTTAAATTTGTTAACCTTTCTTCATTGCTAAAATGTTTCATTCCTTTTATTAATTTTGTAACCCTCTGCACTTTTTCTAGTTCCATAATATCCTATTTTAGAACTGGTTCCCAAAATTGCACAACATATTCAGGATGTGATCTTACCAGTGATTTATAAAGAGGCAAAATGATATTCTCATCCCGATAATGGTGCTGGTGGGAAGGACACACAGAAGGGCTTGAAAGGGGGAAAAGAGATACACAAAGGGAGCTGGGTGGAGAAAGAGACACACAAAAGGGCTAGAGAGGAGTAAGAGACACACAAAGGGCTGGAGAAGAGTAAGAGGCACACAAAGGGATTGGAGGGATAAATAGACACGTAAAGGGGTTGAGGTAGAAAGAGACACGCAAAGGTGCTGGAGGGGAGTGATCCTGCAGGCACTCTGCTGCCCCCAAATGCCCTCCTCCTCCCCCGTGTTCCCCCTGTCATTGGGGGGGGTGCCAAGAGGTGATACTCCCCCGTCGGGCGCCTGTCTCCAATCAGCCGCGGCGAGGGAGCTATGTGCTCTCTGCTCCCTCTCGCCGCACGGGCTGTCTACAGTAGCTGGGAGCCGGAATATGACATCATATTCCGGCTCCCAGCTACACCAGACAGCCCGCGCGGCAAGAGGGAGCAGAGAGCACACAGCTCCCTCGCCGCCACTGAGATGGAGAAAGGCGCCCGACCCACTGGACCCCAGGGACAAGTCCACGCCAGCACTCCAGGTAGGGAGGCTGGGTGGACATTTTTGAATTAAATTTTTTTTTATTTGTGAGTGTGTGTATGTGTGTGTGTCTGTAAGTGTGTGTAAGTGTGTGTGTCTGTGAATGTGTGTGTGTGTCTGTAAGTGTGTGTGTGTATGTGTGTCTGTGAATGTGTGTGTGTGTCTGTGAATGTATGTGATTGTGTATATAAATGTGTGGGGTGTATATTAATGTGTGTGTCTGTGTATGTGTGTGTGCACGTATATATATACAATTGTATATAATTTTTTTTGGGGGGTGGGATTCTTGGGATAGTTCCCACCCTTTATTCCCCAGGACTTGACCCCTGCCGGCAGGGGAGATCTCCGGATCTCCCCTGTCGGCTCATACAGAGCCGGCGCTATCTGAGTGCCGGCTCTGCTCTAAGCCTCCATGGGCCGGCGGGGAGATCAAAGATCTACCTCACCGGCCCACAGCAGCATGGAGGGAGGCAGGAAAGGACCCGGGGAGCTCTAGACAGAAGCTCCGCCAGGTTCCTCTCGCGAGATCTGAGCGTTGCCACGGCAACGCTCAGATCTCGCGAGAGTGAACTCTAGCCCCGCAGGCTAGAGTTCACTCTCAACTGGACCATCAGGGATGGCACATGGCAGCAAGGATCCCCCTCCCTACATAAGGTAAGAAGGGAGGGGGGTATTTACTAATCTGCCCCCACCTTCGCAATCCCTCCAAACATACAGCACCCACACACACACAGCACCTACACACATACAGCACCCTAACACAAACAGCGCACTCACACAGCACCCTCACACACACAGCACACAAACAGCACCCTCACACACAGCACTCCCACAGCACCCTCACACACACAGCACACACACACACACATACAGCACACACACACACGCAGCACACATACAGCACCTTCACACATACAGCACCCTCACACACATAGTAAACTGATAGCACCCTCACAAACACACACACACACAGCACCCTTACAAACACACAACACCCTCACACACAGCACACTAACAGCACCCTCGCACAAACAGCACCCTCACAAATACACGACACTAACAGCACCCTTACAAATACACGACACAAACAGCACCCCCACAAATACACGACACAAACAGCACCCTTACACACACATCACACAAACATCACCCTCACACACACAGCGCCCTCACACAGCACACTAACAGGACCCTCACACACAGCACACAAACACCCTCACACACAGCACACAAACAGCACCCACACACACAGCATCCTCACACACAGCACACAAACGGCACCCTCACACACAAACAGCACCCTCACACACAAACCGCACCCTCACACACAGCACACTAACAGCACCCTCACCCACATAGCACACTACCAGCACCCTTACACAGCGCAGTAACAGCACACACACACACAAACAACAGTGTATGTGTGTGTGTGTGTATATATATATATATATATATATACATACATACATGCTGCGTGTGTTTGTGCTTTAGGGTGCACATCCTAATGCAATAGGCTGCGCATGCCAATGGGTAAGACATTAAAAAGAGTGGATAATAAACACAAAAAGGAGTACGAAATTCAAGAGGGGAATTAAGGGACACACAGGTGAAGATGCATTATTTGGGGGGGAAGGGTGCGGGGTGACAAAAGGCATGATGTTCACCTGTGTAGCCAAAAATCCTTGCACCAGGCCTGACAGGATCATAAGGAAAGGCAATATAAAATAAAAGCATTACAAGTTCGCTTTAATGTATTTAGACAGGATTGGGTTAAATATTTGGCAATGTAGCATGTTCTTCTTTCCAAAAGCTGTTTTAATTTTGTGACCAGACTGCCTCTCATAGTTGGCAAAGTTTGTGCGGAGAGCTGGTGTTTGGCTCCTATGGATGAGCTTTAAAGCGGCACTGTCACGATCTGGGAATTTTGCAAAATTTGCAAAGACCCCTGACATTGCTGCTGTGAGATGGCCGGGTGGGGTGGGGCAGGTAAAGGTAAGATTTACTTACCTGAACCTGTCCCTCATGGGCACTGTAATCTTCCTCGGCTTGCTTCTTTTCAGCACCAACGTCACTGCTGCACTCTCACGCAATAGACAGAGCTAATTTTCCGCAACTAGTGACGGCTGGCGGGATTGACACATACACTTCCTTCCAGAGTCTAAGAAAGTCAGGTGGAGAAAATATACAGCGATAAAGTAGCCCCAGTGGCGTAGCGTGGGTTGTCAGCACCCGGGGCAAGGCAAGTAATTTGCGCCCCCTAACCTGTGGATTTTAGCACTCGAGTCTCTTCCACTAGATTAGTTAAAGAAACCCTTACCCCCCAAGCACATGTATTGTTTGTTATGAAAATACTTATGTAATTAAAGTAAAATGCATCTAAATACAAGTTTATTTTCCAACACTTTATTGAGTGCGAACATGCATTACACACATTCTCCACATTTTCAGCAGGTCTATGAATACAAATATACAAATGTAGTAACCTAGCATGGGCCATGCTATTATATGTCGTCTCACAACCATCGTAAACGACAAAAAATATCAAGAACAAAAAAAAAAAAAAAATCTCCTTATTACAATACAATACATGAACATATTGATTTACTGCACCCATCCCCACCCCCTAAAAATACAACCATTACAACTTATTTTGCAGATTTTTTTTTTATCTATACACATTGCATTTTACTGCCCCCCATCCCCTCCCCCTAAAAAAAATCTCCTTATTACAATACATGAACATATTGATTTACTGCCCCCACCCCCTCCCCCTAAAAATACATTTCCACCATTACAACTTATTTTGCAGATTTTTTTGTTATATACACAATTAACACATTGCATTTACTGCCCACTCCTCCTAAAACTATAATTTACTTTACAGTCAATATAAAAAAAAATAAAAAAAAAATACTTACACTTCTCTGAACACTTTCTCTGAAGATACCAGCAGCTGCTCTTTCAGGATGCTCGGCTAGGAGAAAGGGTGTGAGGGTGTTCCCGGCGTCCTTCAGTTGGAGGCTATGCGCATGCGCTGTTACCGGCCGTGACTAATTTCATGGCGTCACGGTACGCGCTTGCATTCAGGCGCAGGGGAGGTCAGAAGGAGGAGCCACCGAGTCAGTCCATCCTACACTATGCGGCAATGCCGGCCGCATAGTGAAGGATCGGAATTCTGTAGCCACGGCCGGCGGGGCTCAAGAGAGGCTTTGGTGGCCCCTTAGGAAGAACTGGGCCGGGGCAGCTGCCTTTAGCCCTGCGTTAAAGACGGCCCAGCGGCCGTTTTTAACATGCTTTAGGGCGGCCTGGGGGGGAAATTGCCTCCCTGCCCCCCGGCCCAGCCCCCGCCCCTGCCTGGCATCCCCCCCCCCTCCACAGTGGGCGGCGACCCGGCGGCTCAGATCGGATTCGCACAGCCAGCACTGCAGAGAGAGTGAGTGAGCCAGGCAGGGGCAGAGAGCTGCGAGTGCGAGCGCGCCCCCCCAGATGTTGCGCCCGGTGCGGCCGGCCCCCCCTGCACCCCCCACGCTACGCCTCTGAGTAGCCCTAATTTGTCTCTGTATATCTCTTGACTGGGTTGGAATTTCAGTGAATTGACTGGGTTGAAATTTCAGTGAAATTCCAACACAGTCAAAATTAGATTCTAAAAAAATAAATTCTATCTTAAAAAAGATTCTATTTTTATGAAATACTTATTTTTCGGGGGGTGACAGTGCAGCTTTATGGTAGAGGTTATAAAGTTGCTTTCAGCTCAAGCTCCAGGTGAAGCTAGTAACACCGCTGTCTGAGCAAACAAATGTGTTGTCTATATTTTATGGATCTATGTATTGTCTATATTTTATGGAAAATAGTAGCTCCCAGCCGGGAGGTCAGCCATTTTTCTCACCTCTAGAGAAAACCGCAGGAAATAAAGTGAGATTCTAATCTTGTGGGATAAAGCTCCACAGCATGCAGGAAACAGCATTTAGTCAGTTTGAGAGTGTAATCCCACTGCAATATCAAATTTTACAAGAGGTTTATGAGAAGCACACACTCTGCACATCTGGCTGCAATGCTGGTCAGGCCCTGTCCCCCACATGTTTATATTTGTTAAACTCATAAAAATCAATGATATACCCCATACTACATTATATTAATTATATTAACCCCATAAGAATCAGTGAGGGTGTATGTTTATTTTTAAAGGCCCTATTCTCACATGAGACACAATGGAGCTCTAACCAGCTTCTTAGTATGTAGGGCAGGTCAATTTTTAAACAAACCAGATACTAATTAAAGGGACACTATAGTCACTAGAACAACTACACCTTAATGTATTTGTTCTGATGAGTATAATCATTCAGTCTTTTGCAGTAAACACTGTATTTTCAGAGAAAATGCAGTGTTTACATTACAGCCTAGGGATACCTCCAATGGCCACTCCTCAGATGGGTACTACAGATGTTTCCTGGCACAGTGCTGCACAATGTGACCGATGTTCAGCATCTACACGCTCTGCATGGAGGCATGGAACTTTCCTCATAGAGATGAATTGATTCAGTTAATCTCTATGAGAAGCTGCTAATTGGTCTGGGTTCTGCCATTGATCTGCCTCCTTGACAGTCTTAGCCAATCCAATGCTTTCCTATGAGAAAATCACTTCTGATGATATCAGCCAAGCAGACGGATCAGGGGGAGAGCCAGCAGCAGATTGAAGTAGAGGTAAGAATTTGCTATATTTAGGAGGGCACGGGAGAGAAGGGAGGGCTTGATGATGATTTTAACAATATGGAGTCAGGAATATATGTTTGTGTTCCTGAAAAGTCTTTGCTCCTTAAGAAGTTGAGAGTTTAACTAACTCCTAGTCTTAAAGATATCAAACATACTGTTTACTGTTAGTGTTAAAAATTAACAAGTTGAAGAGTAGTTGCCTTTTTGTTCACTATTTTCTACTGATTGCACAAAAATTGGTTTAAACATTTCATGACTGTTCAACCTTTAAACACCACTAAACCCTCAATGACACAATTTCATTGTTTTAAAGGTCATAAAATAGTTTAAATGCTCTCAGTTTATAGTCAAAAGTATTTTTGACTGGAAGTTAAATTGCTTTGGATGTACAAGTTTGAGCAAAAAGGTTTGAAAAAAATGTTTTGAACATAGCTTCTACTTGCACATCATAATAAGTTTATTTAGTTCCATGAGCAGACCAGCACACCTCCAAACATTGAGGCTGAGTGTGGAACAGGCCAATAATGTGTTGATGATGTGATGCATTCCATTAAACAAAAAGTAACTGCACTCCTGTTGATACGCGATACCCATACCAGACCACTCATCATGGTTGGTGCTCGGATCGAGGCTGATGAACCACAACATAACTCTTGCAATAACAAATAGAATTTATGGGCACTCAAAGCTTCTTTATTCATGCAGACTTTATTAAAGACAATAAGCATAAGCAAATACCATAAGTTGACAATGTTTCGGCCAAAACTACCTTTGTCACGCCACAAACATCAGTGAACAATAACTAACCTGTTTATATACCAAAAACCCAATACATTAATTGGACGATACAATATTTACAGTTTTACACTATGAAATCCATTTACAATTGTATTCCAGTAGGTCACCTTTCTGCCCAGGTCTCCATTACACAAGTAAAAGGAAATATGATGTAAAATTGCACCATAAGTGATGTTTTTCCTTTTCCTTGGGTAATGGAGACATGGGCAAAAAGTGGGATGCAGGAATACATTTGTAAGTGTATTAAATTGTGTAAAACTGTAAAATTGTATTATCCAATGAATGTATTGGGTTTTGGGTATATAAACAGGTTAGTTATTGTTCATTGATGTTTGTGATGTGACAAAGGCCGTTTTGGCCAAAATGTTGTCTATGTTTGTGCTGATGATGCGATGTCAGCCAGGTGTACATGCACACTCCACAGTCACAGTTGTTAGCCCCATTTAGGATAACCTATGCATGTAGCCCTGTTATGTTTGATATATGTATTTGATGTGCCCTACTCCAGGAGGTTGAGTGCTTAAAGGTGTGGAATAAATGTACTTTTTCAAAATCTCTAAGTAGTAAAAGTTACCATTATTCACCTGTTTGTTTTTGTTTGTTGGTTTATTTTGTGTCAGGGCGACTGACACGGTGATGTAACCGCAGCTGGTTCCCTTATTAACCACTATAACGTCTTAAAGAAAAGAACTTAGCAAAACTAACCATACCGATATCTTAGCCATACTTTTATATAGTCAGTAAGAGAGCCTCTATTTAAAATGTATAAATAATTGAGAATACAATATAAAATAAGGATTGTCTTGGAAGCAATTAAGTTTTGTCTTTTAGATATTTTATTAAATATAAATATAGACATGTAAAATCTATCACAATAATTAATAGCAGAGTTTATAAGGTTAAACTATATGCTTGCAATATCATTTTAAATAGACTCACATACCCTCTTGAACATGTCAACATCTCTCAGTCATTATAATATGGAGCGACAGTGTCTCTGTCTCCAAATCTCTCATCTGTCTGTTAACATTTAAAAGGTACACATATTTATACCTTTTTTCATTTTAGGGTTACCGTAGTTCATATATGAAAAAGTCAAACTTCTTTTACTTTTATTAATTTTAGGACCTCCCTTAACTTGGCAAAGGCCATAACTAAAACGTAAGGGTGTACACGTCATGGGAAATTCCCTGACTTAGGGCAAGATCTTAAAGTCTGAACATCTTATCTATTTAGGGTAACCGCAGTATATTATGTACTGAAAGAGTCGTAGCATAGCTTTGAAGCTTGTTTATGCATTATTGTTATTGTATTTCGTCTGGGACAAAATAACGTAAACATATTATGCACTGAAAGTAAGTAAAAGGTTATTGCTTAAAGAAACATGGATGAAAAACAATATTTTCCATTTCTAACACCTTGTCAGTTTGCAATATTTCTTAAAGACAAAGTACACAGTTTGAGAAATACAATATTTGCATTTGCCCATAACAGTGGTACTATTACATCAGACATTACCTGATAACTGGAGTCATGTTATTCAAGAGATGAAACTTCACTTTTTAGCTATAAGGTCCATTATGTAATTTTAAACATTGAAAGGATAGATGGGGAAGGTCTATTTCATGCCCTCTTCAAATGGTACTAAAGATATAAGGTGACGTTTTTTACATGGTAACTACACAATATGAATAATATATTGTAACTTATTGTAACTCACATTTAAGTAAGGCTTATGGCCCTTCTTGCTATTTATAACTTAGCCATCCTTGCTTTAGGTTAAAAGCCTATTCATTTTTTTAATGCATTTATTCCATTCTGAAGATTGGTATTCAAAATTACACTATATTCTAGGAAAATTCCCGCAAGTGAATAATAAAATAAAACTGTATCTTCATATTCATCCTTTTTAATTAGTGATAAACTATCATATATATATATACTAAGTAGCATACTATAATACTAGTATATTAGTACCCTGAATACAAACTCTGTCATCTTTCTTCTATCAAGTTTATAATCCATTCTTCAATAAAATATGACACAAACAGGTTGTTTTGTACATCACAGTGTTGCCAAGCAGCAAAACCAAGCAAATTTGTTTGTTTAAAATATTAATTATAACTTGCCATCTTGGAAGTAAAAATAGAATCCTAAGCTGCTAAAATATGTTTGTGAAAGAAAAAGCTCTCAAAGGTAAGTTTAATAAAAGTGTGTAGCTTAATCCATAGTTATTACAACAAGCCAAGAAACAACCTTAGACATTTTTGAATTCTTAAGTAGGTCCTTAAAAACCCTTAGTCCCTACTTAGTTTTCTTTTACAAATAAATTTTTCCCAGGCTTATTTCAATTGCATGACTTCATTTAAGTAAATCCTTGTTACTTTGAATCCTGTAAAGTGTATATATATATTTTGTTTACACACATAATGATTATTTTCTTCAATAATAAGTTCACTACACTCCAGCACAGCCAAACAATTTGGTTTGACCAATTCAATTTATCACAATTTGACATTTTAGTTTGGACGGATGTCGTCCACCAAACAGATTTGGGAAAAAAGATTCAGATAAACAAAAAGGGTGACAAAATGGTCCTATCAGTGTACTGCAAAATATCTAGATTATATAAATATTATGTATATATTTTGCATATGTGCATTTTTCCGTCATTTTGTTCATGAATCAAGTAAAATGTAACCAATAGAGAGAGAGAAAAGAGCAGCAGTAAAAAAATATATATTTTTATGAATAATGTATTTTTATTAAACATATAATATAATATATATATATATATATAATCATTTCTCACATAATCTGTATATAAAATCAATTTAGTGGTTGTCCCCTTCTCATCCATCAACATTATTTTGCTACCACAAATGGAGTTCCAAATCATGAAACGAACGAAACTGTCCTCATTGCCCATTGTCACACCAGCTTTTAAGCAGTAAAGCTCTAGCAATCACAAAGCTCTAGCAATCACAAACACTCTGTAAAAATTGTATTGATGCATTAAGAGTCATTTTTGAACTCAGCAGCCAAAAAGACTTGATAAAGTATTGACACCTAGACTTCTGCACAAATGCTTTTCACCTGCGACGAACGAATTGAATCCCTGTTAATCTGTGCCCGAACGAATCAATCCACCCTGGATGTACACATCAGATTGATACATTCCGATGTAGGTTAACATGAATTTGATTTGTTTATCACAGGTGAAAGTGATTTGTGGAGAAATCTATTGATGACACATCTCAACAAACCAACAATTATCCCCCAAATTATCACACTTTACAACAGTTATTTACATGACAAAACAAAAACCACAAACCTACATCTAAAATGGCTTTGTGTAGGTGCGTGGTTATAGTTCCATCTGCAGCACCCAAGAAATACATATCCCATGATTCTCTGCTTGTCGTTTAATAAATTTCAACCAGTGATTTAATCACAAAACCATCAAATTCTCCATTTGGTTTGTTATGTCAGTCTTAAGATCATGTGATTAATGACAATAATAAAATTTAATCCCACTTTTAAGTTAATAATGATTGCTAACCACCAGCAGAAAATGGTTAGAAGAACACTCTGATCACCTTAATAACACTAAAAAAAAAATATATATATATATATATATAAATATAAAGGTGTGCTGTGCCTTTAATACAAATATGAATGTGAATCTTAAGTGCTAAATTGCAAACAAGATTATAAAGTGCAGTAAAGGAACACTATAGAGTTGGGAATACAAATATGTATTCCTAGCGCTATAGAGCCTTAGTCACCATTCTGTGGCGAATAAATGGTTAATTAACCATTTATTTGCTTACCTTAATCCAGCGTCAGGCTACCTCGGCACTGGTGACCTCTATTCCTCCATAAACGTCAGCTCCCGAGTGGAGCCGAATGCGCATGCGCGGCCAGAGGCACGGGCACATTCAAACCCACCCATAGGAAAGCATTATTCAGTGGCTTTCCTATGGGGATCTTTTTTGATGCTGGAGGTCCATGAGGACGCCCAGCGTCAAATAAGTGCGATTTACTCAGTGTAAATCGCGGAAGCGCCTCTAGTAGCTGTCAGGGAGACAGCTACTAGAGGCTGGATTAACCCTGCAGTGTAAACATAGCGGTTTCTCTAAAACTGCTATGTTTTCGGCTGCAGGGTTAAAACTAGAGGGACTTGGCACCCAGACCACTTCATTGAGCTGAAGTGGTCTGGGTGCCTATAGTGGTCCTTTAACCATAAACTTCAAAATAACGTTCCAAAAAAGTGCAAAAAAAAGGTTTAGTGCAATAGTGTTTGTAAAACAATACAAACTTATCAAACCAGTTCATCTCAAGAAACTGGTTACGGTGCCCAGAATGTTCTTTTTAAATATTTTTGGATTTTGGATTGTAGACGTGTTTAAAACAAACATGCCATTCTGGATAAAGTTCAGAAACTGTTGTCAAACAAAAACAAGTGCGGAATTGTAATATCACCTTAACTGATATTAAACCCGCAAACATACCACGTAAAGAACTGTCGTTCTTAGAGAATTACTGTAGGGTTATATAAACAAGGGAATTATAGATAACATAGATACATTATATTTTCTTGGGGACCACCAGATTTGAATTTATTTTAAATTTAATATGTATATATTCCATTATGTTGTTTCTGTTATGTTCCAACACTGAAATATCAGTTGGCTACAAGGTCCCTGATTTTTCCTAAATACACTGACTCCACTAGAATCAGCACATTGTGACCTTATCAGAGTTTAGGTATTATAGGATGCAACACACACATTGCATAATACGAGGAGATTGATACAATGCTCTGTGCAAAGTACAGGGACGTGTGTCCACTGAAATGGTTCTGCGTTGTAATGAACTACAAGAATAAATATGTGAGAAATTAACCATGCGGCATGTTTTTTGGGGGGGACGTTTGACAATCTTTATTTTGTATTTTATTCAAAAATATTAGGAAGAGAATTAGAGACAGTTACAGTGAAACAATGTCACAGTGGGTGTGGAACAACATTGCCAGTTCAGCCAAACAAAACAAATGCATGGTGGGTGCTACAGTACAGTATTGCTAATATATTGGTTCAGCAAGTCTGGTACAAGAATTAACCAGAAACCTCTGTGAGTATGGTTTGAAAATGTTTGTTCCGTTTAGCATGGTTTAATAAAAGAGAGGATGGACCAAGGGCTCTGGAACTAGTAGAGAACTGCAGAGTTGTGTTAGATTGTTGTTCATCCTGGGTAAACTAATAGCTAATAGTAAAGTAAAACAAATAAATAGAAAAAAATAAATATATATATTTATGTATACATAGTCATAGTTTTGTAATGAAACTGTCACGACGAGTGACCCAAACAGGCAAAGTATAACCCAAACAGAAAACGTATTACCGGACCTTAGAATGGCCGGGTTCAACGTAGATAGAATAGACGAGGATACCCAAGGATAAGGGAAACCAGATATCAGGATACCGATAATGAATAGCCGAGTCAGGGAACCAGATAACAGGAAGAACGAGAAAACAAGCCAAGTCAGGATACCAGAACGAAGAATAGTCAAAAGTCACAAGCTGAGTCCAAATACGAAGAAACACAGACAGAAATAAGCTAGCGCTAGAGGGAACAAAACAATGAACCACAATAGGGCACTGAACAAGGGCAAAAGGCGCCCTTTTATAGTATGGCGTCTGTTGCTTTAAATCCACGTCTCCAAAATGTCAGGGAGTGTGGAATACTTTAAATTTTCGCGGTATGGCCGTTATGACGTCGGCACGCATACGCTGCATCATAAGTGGGGGTGTGCGTAGAGCGGCCGGCGTCCGACATGCCGTGCCATCGTCGGAGGAGTCGGCACCCGGAGCTACACCTTGCAGGTTCGTGTGAGAAAGGTAAGGTATCGAGACAGAAACCTCCTTTAAGGTCTCCCACCCGTGGCCTTGTAAAAACGTGATGAGATAATGCAGAGTGTGCAATAATGTGACTTATAAGTGAGGTTCTCTGTCCATTATAAATATTCCTTTCATATTTCAGTCTTGTTCTTATCTATCCCTTAAAGAGATACGCCGAACACACGCACTGCCCATGCTTATATTTAGACTCAGAACTATCGTTGGCGTGATCCACTACAACCCCGTTTAGATTTTTCTTGCTTCGTCTTTGTTATTTGAATACCACTTTACACATGGGTCATTGTATTTACCGTTTCTTCGTTGCGGCAGAAATGACTATAGTACACATCGGCCCCAATAGATACAATAAAATACAAAGAGCGAAACTACTTTTCTCTACTCACCCCATGTGTTTTCTATTAAGGGTTAATAAGTATTAAGGGGTTTACAAAAATAACCCTCTTTGTCTCATTAGAGATTTTACCTTTTAGCTGAACGCAACAAGGTGAATTGTTAGTGAGCAGAATAGCTTAGACTCAAGTGGCCATTAAAGTGACTCTAAATAACCTCCATTTATTATAATGTGCACAGGGATTTGGGATAGTGCACAAGTAACTATTTTCCTTGGTTTTTATTGTATGTATTGGGGCTGATATATATAATATGGCCATTGCTGCTGCCCAGGAGCAGTGGGAGTTTGAGCGCAGGGCTTGTTTTGTGTATTTGTATTTAGCCATGTTACAACACTGCTGCCCAGCCCATGTGTTCCCTATTACGGGTTAATAAGTATGTAGGGGTTTAGAAAACATACCCCTCTCTGTCTCATTAGAGATTTTACTTCTAGCTGAAGACAGTAAGGTGAATTGTTAGTGTAGGACTCATCTAAGAGGTTTGCCTTGATTTGTCATGTGAGAGAACACTGAAATGGCCATGGAGTGAAACTAAGAACCTCCAGTTATTATAAATGTGCACAGGGATTTGGGGTAGTGCACACTTATTTTTTCCTTAATTTCCTCGTATACATGTTTTGATCTACAAAGGTCTTTTCACTCCTAGTCAGTCCTTTACCATGATGTCTCACTCCCAATCGTGTCCCCTTCCTGTTTCACCTTCCCAGACATGACGCCATCCTTTCTACACCTTGATATTTGCCCATGCATCTTCAATGTTCACTTCATAGTCAGTCCTTTATTCACCATCCTTTTCAAACCACGTATGAATTGATCTCTCCAGTAACTCTCCATCCTTTCCTTCCCTGTCCGTTTCAATCAATGTATCCCTTGTATCTACCTCTTCGAAAATGAGGATGTGTTCACTTCCTTCTTCCCTAGTCATGGTATGACTATCAATCCCTCCCGAACCATAAAGTAATCTTCACTCCTTCCCCAGATATGATGTAGTTCCTGGGGCTAGACTGTATGTGTTTCTTGTTTCTAATGATACCTCCTCCCCTCGCCCTGTCTCGGTTGGAGTCCCCCAAGGCTCCGTCCTTGGTCCCCTTCTATTTTCTCTTTATACTGCCTCTCTTGGCAAACTTATTACCTCATTTGGATTCCACTACCACCTGTACGCTGATGACACCCAGCTATATCTCTCCTCCCCGACCTCTCCCCTGCTGTCCTGCAACGTGTCACTGCTTGCCTTTCTTCCATCTCTGAATGGATGTCCTCCCGCTTTCTGAAACTCAATCTCTCAAAAACTGAGCTCCTTGTCTTTCCTCCTCCTAATACTGATCCTCCTCTTTCGCTCTCCCTTCAAGTTTGTGGTACCAACATCAGCCCATCCTTGCAAGCGCACTGTCTTGGTGTCATACTTGACTCTGGTCTCACCTTTGAGCCTCACAACCAGCATGTTGCCAAATCCTGTAGATTCCATCTTAAAAACATAGCCCACATCCGCCCCTTTCTTGCACCAGATACTACCAAGGAGCTTGTCCATGCTCTAGTAATTTCCCGCATGGTTTATTGTAACCCTCTCCTGCTTGGTCTTCCCAAAAGCCGTACTGCACCCCTACAGTCTGTAATGAACGCTGCTGCTAGACTGATTTTCCTCTCTAGCCGGTTCTCTCACACCTCACCCCTCTGCCAGTCCTTACATTGGCTTCCTGTGTGCTATAGGAGTCAATTCAAGGCACTAACTCACACCTATAAAGCACTGAACAACTCTAGCCCCTCTTATATCTCCTCACAGATCCATAGGTATGTCCCTTCTCGGTCTCTCCGCTCTGCCCGTGACCACCTCCTGTCTGTTGTCCGCACCCGTACGGCCAACTCGCGCTTGCAGGACTTCTCGCGGGCGGCTCCCTTCCTATGGAATAGCCTGCCTCCCGCCATCAGACTCTCCCCTAGTCTTGCATCTTTTAAGAAGTGCCTTAAAACCCATCTCTTTAGGAAAGCTTATGGCCTCCAAGACTAACCCCTACCTCACATACCTGTCTCTTGCCCTCTCCTAAAGGGCAGCCCACCTTAATTGATTGCAAATTCCTGTCCTACTGTGTTTTACACCCCACCTCCTATAGAATGTAAGCTCGATTGAGCAGGGTCCTCTTCAACCTATTGTTCCTGTAAGTTTATTTGTAATTGTCCTATTTATAGTTAAATCCCCTCTCATAATATTGTAAAGCGCTACGGAATCTGTTGGCGCTATATAAATGGCGATAATAATAATAGAACTCGTTATAATGTGAGCTTGGCTTTAGTAAACACTTTGAGATGCCACTATGTTCTGAATATATTTAGATTTGGAAAAGCCATGGTTTGATCAATATACTAGGCTTCTTTGACCTGGAATTTGAGAATCCCTAGTCAGTTCTATGCCATTCACATTATAGGGAACAAACTCCCCACATTTTGTACATTTATATAATTGTGATTGCTGTTTACATTTCTTTTTTTTTTTTTAAATCCCCCTATTTCTATTGAAACATCAGACTTTGGAATACAATACGGGAATATGCCTTTTTTTTTTAAATTGTATTATTCTTTTGTGTCTTAAATTTCATTTATTTACAACACTGCTTTCCTTATCTTTATTTTCACTATTTGGTAAGTTGTTTTTTAAAAATTTTCCTGTCCATCTGATATATTTGTTTTTTATTTCCTTAGATAATGTGCTAGGCCAACCGATATAACCGGATCCTGGTGGTGGCTTTTTCACAAAATGCTTGGTAGTCAAGATGGCTTGTGTCATCTCCCTCTTGACCTTTCATGTAACACAGTTACATGAGTGTAAAACTGAACTACTTCACGTGAATCAGCGTTACACTATCTTACATGAAAGATCAGGAGAGAGATGGCACAAGCCATCTTGACTACCAAGCGTTTTGTGAAGAAATCAGCATTTATTATCATTTTTTTTTCTGCAGAAACCCAAATTTAGAATGATAGTCGTGTGCTGCCAAGTGACTTTGGAGGCAGAGACACACTCAGGGTACCAGACTGACACATTCACAGGAATACCATGGCACGGACTCCCAGACAGAGCTACGCACTTACAGATACTCTCACAGGATACACGGTCACCAAGTGTCACATTCACAAGATACCAATGAAACCTTCTTGTGAATGTTCTACTTTTACAATGCGGCTCCAGAATCCCTCTATTTACATATTCCCCTATATTTTACCATTATCTTTTGTGTCACTATACCCCGCTCCCTCTAGCATGTAAGCTCATTTTAGCAAGGCCCTCAGCTCCATCTGTTCCTGTGCTCGCTGGTTCCGAATACCTGTCTGTTAGTGCACCTATTGTACAGCGCTCTGGAATTTGTTGGTGCTTTATAAATACTAATAATAATAAGAAGAAAATATGAGCATATGTATTTTTACCAAGAGTTCTCTTTTATCTAGAGATGTTCCCAACAAAAATCTTTCTCTACTGTTGTAGAATTTTCAGTTTCATTTAAAATAGGAGCCCAAGTGGCCAAGTGTAGCCTTATTCTGCAGCCAACTGATTACTAGATCTGGAAGCTTAACATACCCATTTATTCCTGCAGTTTGCTACTTATGTCATTAGTCTGGTTAGATCAGTGATCTGCTTGATAGGGCATTGATTTCTCTGCTATTATAGCTTACTAATCTGACTACCGGACATTCTATATTTTACCTTTTATTTCTAGCTAGTGTAGTGGCATACTATTTGGCTTAGGTGCCCTTGAAGGCACAGTGTTGCTTTCTTAAGATAGGTGCCCATATAGGCACATAGGTTCTTTGTATATGCACTAGCTGTTTCTGGTTATTTTCTCTGGGTTATCATTATTATCCTTCGGAAGTACGACTTAGTGGCGTTTTTGCTACATTTGGATTTAAGCTCACTCTGCCTTTTATCCTGGGTTGCCTACATCAGCCCCTTGCAGCACTTTGTACTAGCTATATTATAAACTTAGCGATTTCCCTACCCAGACATCTGACTATACACGATCTAGATATCTGATATATTATTGGTTACAAGGATACTTTGTTTCCATTATACCATTTCTCTAGGTATACTGCTATAGCGTATTCTTTATCCTGACTAGTTGCTATCCCACGTATTTGTGGAACGATAAATTGCAGTTACTCAACTGCTTGTCTAAGCAATAACCTTAGAGGAATTACCAGCTCACTTTTTGTATATATTTCTCCCCCTTCACCCTTCTTTTTAGTCCCCCCTTCCTCCCCCCTTTTTGGTTTCATTTTGTGTGACTTATTAAGAGCTAGACACCGTTTCTAGCTCTTTTACCTATGCATTAAAAGTTGCATTTTAACTCTATTACAGGCCATTGGACAGAATATTTCTCTCTTGTCTCTGAGTTCCAATATTCTTTCTATGAAGGGGAAATCATTATTTGAAAGGTGTGAGCATCCTTACACAGCACTGAGCATTTAAAATTGCAGAGAAGCACGTGGAGAAGTACAGTACTTTCAGTGACAGAACTACCGCGGTCACCGGGCCCATCACTCCAGGGGGCCAGACTGCCCTTCGGACCCCTGTGACTGGGGTGCCTGGCTCGCCCATCGGGTGGCCCATGCTTTTAGGGCAACCAGATGACAAAGGATTTCCAGGGAGCCTGGTCAGCGCTGCGGCGCTTTAACAGCGTGACTGGGCCTCCTGTGCTGATGTCAGAGCTGGGAAGAAGTAACCGTCCCAGTCACTCCTCCCAGCAATCACCGAGACCTGCGCGGGAGGAGGAAGGAGAGGAGGGAGTCAGAGTGGGAACTCTGACTCAGATCAGCCTGAGCCAGCCACTGGACTCAACAGAAAGACACCCTCCTTCACCTAAAAGGTAGGAAACAGGAGTGTGACTAAAACATTTTGCATGTGTGTGTGTGTTTGTGTACGTGTGTCCGTATGTTTGTCTCTGTATGTGTGTGGTATGTATGTGTTTGTGTTTGTGTGCCTTTATGTATATGTGTGTGTGTGTGTCAGTATATCTGCATATCTGTATGACAGTGTCTGCCTATGTATCTGTATGTGTGTCACTGTTGTATCTGTATGAGTGTATCTGTATGACCCATGCCGTACTCACCTCCCATCACTCTGCCATATTAACCTATCACATTCACCTTCTCTAGCGCTGTCACACTCATTCTCCATCACTCTGTTACACTCGCCCCTTTTCACCCTATCACATGAACCCCTCCAGTTCTGTCACACTCATCCCCTCCCCCCATACCATGCCACACTCACCCTGTGGGGCCTGTATGAAGCACATGGAGGTGCTGGGGGGGCATGAATGTGACACAAGGAGTGGCTGGGAGGAGGGAGAAGCATGGCAATTTTCACACCAGAGCCCCGTGGTTTCTAGTTACGCCTCTGAGTACCTTCAATTATTCATATGCAACTTTTAAATCCCAAGTATTCCTTACATACATTTGTGCTTCTCCCTTCACAAAAGTCGGAAAAGCATTTTGACAGACTGACATGCTGTCAGAGGTTGGCTGTCATATTAACAAAGTTCCTATACTTAAATGTAAAGATTTGACCCCTGGCTGGAATTTTATTAAGGTAGAGTTGGCTTTCTGCCATGGAAGCTTACATTAAAACTGCAAAAATGATTTTTCTTTTTGTTTCCATATTTTAATTTTGCCTCCAATCATTGGTTAGCTACAGGGCCATTTCCATTAGATATTTACAATCTGCACTACGCACGCACCACTTGCCCTCATACCTACCATTTTGTGGGTCAGACTGGCCATCAGGCAAACCAGGCAAATGGTCATATGTTTGCTATATGTTTCTGAAGGCTGACCCATAGAATATTTGCCATTAAGGCAATCGTATAATTTAATAACTACTATCAAAATAAAGAAAAACAGGTAAAGATCCCACTCAGTTTACTGATATTCAGTAGAATGGATATTTTATTCTTATTCAGATTAAAACCATTTCTTTTTATGACATCCTATGCTACCCAGTGAGCAAACACCATGTATTTTGTCCCACTGCCAGTTAAATTATTGACACTCAGATAACATGGATCTTGTTTATTGATTACCCATAGGGTGAGGGTTCATTGCATTGTGATAACAGAAAGAGTTCTTCTTCTTTAACAAGTGAAACAGAGCAAGAATTACAGTGTCAAAAAGCAGGATCCAGTGGCTCATCTAATCAGACGATACCTTTTTCTTTATTTTCTGTACTGTCTCACTGATCCAGCCTCTGGAAAAAAAAATACAGAAGGTATATTAAGAGAGACAGTCAAATATTATGCAAGAACTTCATCTGGATATAGTGATGTACTTACTATACGTGTACAAGAATACAGCACAGGATACAACATGTAACTGAGGTTCCTCCAAATATACCCCTCGTGACATTATATGCTGTACATGGTGCTTTATTTATTTATTTAGAAAAAAATGTTACCTCTCTACTTGGGGCCATTTGGCATGTTTTGTTCTTTTTAATAAAATTTTTTTCATAATTAAGTGTTCTTGCATAGCAAGACCACTTAAAGTTATCTCATATATATATTATTATTATAGCCAAATTTACCACCCTAACTCCTCCCACAGTTTTTACACTACATAGACAGTAATATACCAAAACGTGCAGATTGTTCCCCATTGGATTGTTATTACTTTGTGGAACGTTTCGCCGAATGGTTCACGGAATATCGTCGTTCTTGTGGCGAAATTGGTCCCAAAGGAATGAATGGCAAAATGTTCAAAACTAGAGTGGGAGCTGGCAAAAGCTGAAAAATCAGGACATGATTTCTAAACTGCCACCACTCCCTCATTTTCAAGCCCACCTACACAAATCTTATATCAAAACGTTCGGCTATCCCTGCTGCCACTAAACATGTCCACAGCTAAGCCATAGTCCTGATAGTTTTTACAATATGACCATTTGTTTGCAACTCACGCCGTCCCTTGACATTCATTGAAACTCCACTCTAGCCAGCTCACATTTGAAGGGCAATTTCTAAAATGCGACTGTGCCTTCATTTGTAATATTTCAGAGACATACTAGGCATCAAAATGTAGGTCTGGGTCTTGTGATTCTCACAATATAAAGCTCTTCGCTGTAGGATTTATAGTTTTTACAATACGACCGTTTGAAGATGACAACCAACAAAATACTCTGACCTGTGCCAAGCTGGAGCAGCAAGTGATGTCATAGACAGGGCCTTTTGTACACCTGCTAATGTTTTTATCAATGTATGTTTTAATGTAACTGTGAAGCACTTTGGGCAACAACATTGCTATTAAATGTGCTATATAAATAAATAATAACAGTTACTCCGCCCACTCCAGTTGTAGACTACTGGTGGAGGCAAGAACACTTCACACAATTTCCCCAGAAATTGTAGCTTTTCTAGTTAGTTATTATTATTTTTTTGGACAGTCAAGCGAAAGGTACTCTGCAATAATGAATATACGCAAATATTAATATATTTGGTCTTGAGGAACATGAGTGCAGTTCCCAACAAATTGATTTCAGATGCCTGATTTCAGGATGTGTATGTGTGGAATCATAGGAAATTCTAAAAAAAATAAATGCATTGATATTTGTGATTTGTCGTTTTTGTGTCATTGAAGGCATTTGACATGAATCTAAATCCATCTAACGAAGAAATATCAATCCATGCCCTTCCCTGTTTTTAGCTGGACTCTATCATTTTCTGCCAGTTTTAGACTTACTGAGCATTATGGGGGTTGCAGTTCAAAAACATTTGTGTGGGATGTTATTCAATACCTCTGCTTTGATGTTTAACTTTTTACTTTGTACCTGATCTCTGACCGTTTTGCCTAAAGATCCTTTTAACCCCTTAAGGACCAAACTTCTGGAATAAAAGGGAATCATGACATGTCAAACATGTCGTGTCCTTAAGGGGTTAAATCAATGTGAGTTTTATTCAATGAAATAACACTAATTATGCTAAATGTAGGCCAAAATAGCTTACAAAAAGAGGTGGTGTTTTTTTTGTGTGGTTTTATTTTTCCCCAGTCTGAAATATAAAGCATTTGCAGCAACGTCAGATTGGGCTGCAAAAAAAATAAAAGATCTTTATTTTTCTGTAATTATAAAAAATAGAACAATTTGGTTTTAAGGAAATGTTCAATAATTAAATGATGTTTCATATTGGGAATAAAACTGCCTATACCTCGTGTCATGAGATTTTCTCAATGAAATATGATGAGTTCCTTTACAAGTTTAAGGTAACTTTTCTGCTATCCACCTTGATGTTTTTTGTTCATTTTTGTTTGCTGCTGGGAATTATGGGAACATTAGTCCAAAGCAAATTAAGTACCGACAGGGTTATTTCACTTAAGAGAAATTTCAAAGTTAATTTCAAATGTATGGTCAAAATAATAATAACAAAGTATTTAACCAGGAAAGGTACATTCAGATTACTCTGGTTTTCAATTACATCCTGGGGATGTTACCCTTAGCCCAACGTTCATGGGTTGTTACTATTACCGAATTTTATGGTACTCGTTTTATCGACCTCAGAAGGATGAAGGGCTGAGTCAACCCTGCCGGGGATTTGAACCTGCGACCCAAGAGTTAAAAATATTCTACTGATGGTGTATTAGCCCACTGAGATAATAACTAAATTGGACAAAACTGCTTTACTTTCAGTTCAGCTATTTTGCTGTCACATGTTAAATTCCTTTTGAATTCTCAGTTTAGTAAATAACATTGTAGGTGGTATATCTGAGATACTTCTTTATTATTACCTTCACTGTTAGTTGTTATCGTCCCGATTGTACAGCAGTAGGGTTATTACTCCTTATAGCACAAAGCGGAATGGTAAATGTCAGGCCTGGGACCGGAGCATTGCTATTCAGAAGCCCATGAACATGACTCCATAAATTACGTTTTACTATCCCAACACTCTACGACTAGCTCAGTTAATACAGAATTCTAACACCTATTGGCCCTGTGTCAGAAGCTCATATCGTAAGCATAAATACCATGTTGGGAAGGATTACTAATTATGTCTAAAAAGAAAAAATAGACATTAACAAATAATTACTTGGGGGGGGGATTTTTTTGCGGGGGTGGAGATTTGCATTTAGCCCATTCTGGTAATTTACCACTCAAATAAAGTTGTTATTAAATGTCACATTAAAAATACACTTTATATTCTTTTAACACTCTTTTTTTGGGGCATTTTATCAACAGTTTATTAAAGTAATGCTACTAAATTCTCTAGTTTGACTTTTATAAGCAAAAGAGCAAATAATGGAAATTATTATTTATTTTTTTTAATTGCAGGTAATTTAGCCATCTATAAATATAAAATATTAAGATATTGGCTATATAAATAATTCATTAAAATTAGTGTTATGAATTTGATTGCTCCTGTAACCTTGTGTAGGACTGCAGCTGGTCTCCTGCCTGGATTTTTTTTCCAAGGAGAGTTTCATTACAAGACCGTTGATGTAATATTAAGATATAGAGCACAGAATATTTTTGAAGTTGTGGTGTATTGCAGGGGTATTAGGAAATGCCTTTGGAATATACGATAGCATACGAAACTTACTTTGCCTTGGTAATAGGTTCGCTTTCACTCAGACCTTTGAATGCAGACTTCGTTTTTTCTCCAACTTTAACTGCGGCATCCCAAATTGAAGCACCAATGGATTCAAATCGATCTTTGATGCTCGGAGAGTCTGAGTCGGCTGAAGTGGGTTCTGATTGGAGTAGGAGAAATGGAGAGGACTATGTTTGAATCAATCCTCCAGACAGTTCATATCACATTGGTCTGTATCTCAGTGTACTCCTGGTTTATTTTTACCTATAACTTGCCTTTTGTAAATCACAGATGAAGCCTGTAGCAGATTATTGTAATAATCCACAGACCATGCATGCTCCTTAAAATATTTTGTATTGCTCCATATAGTGCTACTTATACCTCAATAGCACCTCTTGATACATGCACACCCATTACTGCTGGTATTGCTCGATATGGCTGTCTTCTAACTCATTTTACTGCTATTTCCATTATTTAGTGTATAACTTCCTCTTTTTTCCTATGCCACTACAGTTGCATTTACCATCCTCATTAAAATCCATCTTGTTGCTGCCTATACAAAATCTTAGAAATTTATCTTGTTACTACGTAGCCCTCTCTAAGACCTGTGCGGTTACTGCCTATAACTTCTCTTATACCCTTCCTTATAATTCCTCCAGCCTTTCATAATTATCTCCTTAAACTTCGCTTCTTGACCATATACCTATTCTTATTACAAACCCTACTAAGGCATATACCCCTCATTTAACCCCTTAGGGACACATGACATGTGTGACATGTCATGATTCCCTTTTATTCCAGAAGTTTGGTCCTTAAGGGGTTAAAGGAACATTCATCTAAATATTACTGTAATAAAGGACATTACTTGACTATTTTTCCAGCACCAAGTTCGAGTCCATGCATCCAACATGTTTATTGCATCCAATCCAATGTTCCTCATAGAGGAGTATTGGGAACAAAAAGCACATGTGTGGCTAGCGCTACCCTTACCCAATGAAATAGAGGTTAGCTGTGAGAACCACCTATGATGCGGTTCTCACAGTGGGAGTACCTCTACTGGATGTCAGGAAGACAACCTGTAGAGGCATTATAACCCTTCAATGTTAAGATTGCCATATCTACTAAACGACAATTCTTTACATTGATCAGGGTTAAAATTAATGGACCAGTGCACCCAGACCAGTTCATTGAAATGAATGAGTCTGGGAAACTTTAGCAGGGCTGATCCTGGGTGGGTGGAAAGCATCCAAGAGCTCTGTAGATACAAGCGAATCTGAGGGTTGTGCAGGACTAGGCACTATCCCTTACATTAGGCCCACCCCACTTAGTAGGCTCAGTCCCTCGTGATTGGTACCGGGCAGCAGAGCTGAAAAGCAAAAGTTACAAGCTGCTTGGCATGTTGTCCTCAAACAGTTTATCAAATTGTAACTTTTTCCTTCCAGCTGTGCTCACCTGGTGCCAATTGCAAAGGGCAAAGTCTATTGAAAGAGGCAGGCCTAAAGTGAGGAGAAGGAGCCTAGCATTGCACAACCCACCAAACCACTTCTATCTACAGATCGCCCGGGCACCCACCCAGGATCTGCCATGACCTTTAGTGATCCTCAAAGCCTTTTAAATAGTTCATCCATATAATTTTTCTCAATACTGTCTATTACCTTGTTACATTTCATCCTGGTTTTTCCTATATCTTTACTTTAAAACATCACATTTAATATATATATATATATAACAAAAAAAACAAAAAAAAAATTAATAACAAGCAGAGATGCCACCTTGGACATTTTTTGTGCCAGACACTTTTCCAATTCCAAATCCTATTGGGTTATTTGAACAAAGTGCTGCCCAGCATTATGTAGAATTTATTTACTAACAAAGGAAAACACAGCAGGTATCCGTAAAACAATCTCGTATTAATTTGCAGGACATTCATAGGATCACATACAATGTCTAATAATCCTTGTGAAAAATGGCCGAAGAAGGCATCTCCAAATAATTCATGGCATCTAGTGAGTTATTTTAAACTTACCAATCATCACGGAGAGGGCGATGACAAACACAGATATAGCAAGTAGCAGCTTCATCTTCAGTAAATTAAACAGCACCTACAACAAAACTAAGAAGGGCTCTTGTTAGTTTTTCGTAGGTAGTGGCAGGAATTGTGCAAGGCCTTTGCTATTCCAGATGTGAATGGATCCGCTGAGTCATTTCTCGGGATCTGTAATCTTTTAGCGGTGCATGCAAAAACAGTTATTCCTTTGTACACTCCTCCCACGGTCATAAGCTTTTTTAAATTGAACCACAAATGTTTACCTTCTCTTGCCATGTAGCTCTCGATGTAATATTGTTGGATACGCTTTCCAAACAATTTAATATTTTTTGGTTAAACTTTTAAAATGATTTAATATTTTGAGATGTATTTTAATTATGTAATATTTTGAAATTTTTCTTATATATTGATATATTTGCCAATGGATAATATATTTTTGGAATATTTAAAAAGACATTTTAAAAGTTTATCGAAAAACATTAATTCATTTGGAAAACTTATCCAACAATATTAAATAAAGGCCAGAATTATATTTTCAGTTAACATCATCCTGACATCCTTACATTTCCCCCAGAATTGGTATATATCTAGGGATGAAATTCAAGTCTGAAACAGCTCATTCGACTGCTATGTCATCTAAACATCAAACTGCTGGCTTAAATATCGAAGCAAAAACTATAGTTGAGTTGGATAATTTTTCTAAATCAGCAATTTTGTCAACATTTTCAAATGTTATCAAATCAGCCATTTTTGTCTACATTTTGCAAATAGCTTTTTCTACATGATTTCTAACAAGAAATTTAGCACTTTCCTATGTCAGTCACCTTAAAATAGATTCCAAAAATCTATTGGATAAGATCACATTTTAACTTTTGTATTATAAACACCACTGGCTTTTTTCGCACGAACTGACTAATATTTCTAGAATTCAGGAGTCTGTATATGGTTATTAGAATATGGAAATGGGTTTATCCATAGAATTCTATTTAAAAAAACTGCTCTTAAAATAATTTGATTGTATTTCCATAAGTAATGGACACACGTAGGTGTGTTAACAGAATCATTTCCCATGTGAACTGCCATTTCTCACATTCACAAGTACAGACCTGGGTCTAACAGAGCCCTAAACTGCTGTAAATTTAAGCTGACAAAAGGGTTATTGATGTTGATGCTTTGTCACACTGAAGGGATGATGGTAATGAAAACAACTATAAAAAGTGGTTTAAGCAAATAAACTGTTGTAGAAAGAAGATTCAGCATAGTTAAATTTGTAGCAATTGTATTCTGTTGCTTACTTTTATTGTATACCAGCAACACGAGTGTGTCACTGTAATCGCTCAATCCTTCACAGGATCCACTGACTAATCTGATCTACATACAAGCCAGCAAATGGGGCATTTAATGAATCAGAAACAAGTGGAACTATAAATCTAAAAACACCAAAAAATGCCTATATCATCAGAAAAGTATTTAACTACCCATGGACACAACAAAGGCCACTTACCAGATGTTACCCTAGAAAAGTGATTAACTAACCATTTATCATCTACTGATAATGAGTTGCTCATCTTTGAAGAGATTCTTTATCTAACACACAACCCAAGTAAACTTTACTAATCAAACAATAAAGTCAGTAGCTATTTACCCAGCCATGTGGAATTAACTTACAAACACATTTCTGGAGTGATTACATTAAGGTGATTATGTGAATATCCCTTTGTTCCTTTTTTTGCAAAGATGCCAAGTTCTTTAAAGGAATACTCCAGCATTATACATAAATATTTATAATCCTGGTGTGTTGGTAAGTTTCCATGGGCCGCTTTATCAGTAAAAAAATTTATCTTGAATTCCACACTTTTCTAAAAAGTGAAAGATAGGGCACTTTGTTAACCATAAAGTACTTTAGCAAGCTGATGTGCATCAGGGGTTTGGACTATTCCTTTAATTTTGCAAAGCTACGTTCTTCGGCCAGCATCTCATGATGCTGCAATTGGTTCAGTTTGCAGGTTATAACTAATAAATTTTGTTAAAAGGACACTCTAGTCATGAAAATAATTCAATCTTATTGTAGTGGTTATTGTGCAAATGCCTTGTTCCTGCATTCTAACATAAGTAAGTATGTGTCATGTGTTTACAATTGTCAGCCAATAGAGCCAATGGAGGTACTTCCTCAATCAAGACTTGCTTTATGTTCACGTGAACTTCTCATAGAGAAACATTGCATTCACTGGTTCACTGTAAGAAGCATCTGTTTGACTGAGTTCAGCAATTTCCGCGCATGCGCTGTATTGGCACAGTGCTTCTTCATTTGTTACTTTTTCTTACTCTGCAATCTGTACTCTGATTCGCCAACAATGAGATCACCCAATCATGATGATCTTTAGTCTAATCTAATGCTAGTTACAGAGAAGCATTGAGGACACTGCACATGTGAAACACGAGATCCAAAGCTTCTCTGTGAGAAGCATTACTCTGAGCAATGATGCTAAATATGAAAACCTTCTAAAATTGGAAGTCTTAAGGAGGAAGTGCTTCTTGTGGCTGTGTGTCTGACAGTCAATAGAGGTGTGTTTCCAGCTAAATGTAAACATTGTATATTCTCATAAAGGGCAATGCTTTACATTGTCAGAGAAAATAGACATCTATTCACCAGAACTACTAGTGTAGTGGTTTTGGTACCTAGGTAGTCCCTTAATTCTGGGAGCATTAGGCATAGTGAACACAGCATACCATTACACAAGGCATACAATCATAAATAAATGTTACTGTTGTACAACATGTTTATGATATCCTTATATTAACTCTAATAATACCACTAGACAGCTAGATAGTCTACCGTACAGGTAATTTACCAAAACGTATAGAGGCATTCAAGGACATCTCTCAGCCACAGTAAAATATTTGAACAACACATGCCGAAAAGTGCAACCGTGCAAAATTAGAAATATATCATTATGCAGGGGTAAAGCATCATGGGCCATAGTCTCTTAACAGCTGAGCATCTACTTTTTGACCATCATTGCTATAAACTATATATTTGCAAAGAATGTGATCCATCTAGTTTTTACACAACTACGATCCTCCTCAGCCAACATAATTGACAATGAATTAACAGCAATAGCTAGATGGATGAGGAACGTTCTTTAAAAGCGCTAAAAATAGACTAAAATATATATATATAAAACTAAACAGATTGTAAAAGGGGTATGTAATAAAACAGAAGGAAACAATACATTAAATCGTATTAGGGAATACTAAGTAAAATATTTGGATAGATACATACATTGCCTTGAGTTTTATTAAATACAGGACACCAGAGAATTCTGCTCAATATAAACTCACCTCACTGCAGACAAAATTCTTCTGATCCACTGCTTACAAGCAAACATCCTCTTATGCCCTGTAGCACCTCCCACAGAAAGCCTCCCACCTCAAGTCACAACAATAGGTGTCTCCTAGAATGCTACCAAGTTCAAACAACAAATTGTTTTCCTTAAAAATGATTGACTGCAGTTTGAAAATTAACATATGAAATGTATAATGCTTTATAGAGTATACTGCTTTACTTTTAATTTAACTTATAACTGATCAAACTTTTCTATATATTTTTTGTATTATATTGCTTTTTTTTTATTCAAAGTAAATTTCAAATTTATGTAAAAATTGTTGAAATTAATTCTCCAAATCAACTATTGTTGCCTAAAATTTTAAATTCAACTTCTGACAATTCACACGTGAGACCCCCCACCCCCCCAGCCCAATTTACCCCAAATTTTAATGGTTCCTGCATTAAACCATTTTTAATTTTAATGGTTCCTGCATTAAATCTATTGCAATGACCAAGTTTCAGGTAAGTGCTTATGGAAGGATGCATTGCTAGACTGTGATGTAGAATATGTTTTAACAGTAAGGTCAAGGATCTTGTAAGAAAAGCATCGGTCTGACTTGACTGCTAAAGGCCCGAACAGGTCTAAAAAAAACAACCTGGAAATATTATTACCCGATGATGTGATTTATTCACAGAATTCACCTCTAAAAGACTGGTCTTGCATACGTTAAAGAAATAAATAAATCTGTTTTGTTTTCCTTTTTTTTAGAGCTTTCACAATAAAAGCATCGATTGCCTCAGGCAGGTAAAGTCAATTTCTGAGATTCAAATCACAGTCATGCTTAGGGGAATGCAAATCCGGCTTTGTTTTTCTTTAGAATGTCACTCTAAAACAAACACAGACTTTCATCTCTAACTCTTGTGACCGCAGGGTTTTGATACATTGCATAATATAAGCAAAAATAAATAAATGCTCCCGTACCTACAGTATCACTCAGCTCCCCTGCGTTAGAGGCAAGGGGAAATGTTAAACAACTTCAAATATTCTAACATGTTAAAGAAAATTCTAGAGGGAAACATTTTAAGAAGAAAAAAACTTTGAAATTTAGATTTTACTAAAGAATCGGAGAATTGTAATAAAATACAAAATCCAAATTAGAAATTTGTACAAAATTTAAGCAAAAACAAAAGTAATTCTCCAACTAAATTTACAGCTTTGCTATTTTTAACTGGAATTTTGCAAATCAGTTTTTAAAGGACCACTCTAGGCACCCAGACCACTTCAGCTTAATGAAGTGGTCTGGGTGCCAGGTCCTTCTAGGGTTAGCCCATTTTTTCATAATTATAGCAGTTTCAGAGAAACTGCTATAATTATGAATGGGTTAAGCCTTCCCCCTAATCCTCTAGTGGCTGTCTCATTGACAGCCACTAGAGGCGCTTGCGTGCTTCTCACTGTGAAAATCACGGTGAGAGCACGCCAGCGTCCATAGGAAAGCATTGTAAATGCTTTCCTATGAGACCGGCTGAATGCGCGCGCAGCTCTTGCCGCGCGTGCGCATTCAGCCGGCGGGGCGTAACGGAGGCGGAGAGGAGGCAGAGAGCTCTCCGCCCAGCACTGGAAAAAGGTAAGTTTTTACCCCTTTCCCCCTTCCAGAGCCGGGCGGGAGGGGGTCCCTGAGGGTGGGGGCACCCTCAGGGCACTATAGTGCCAGGAAAACGAGTATGTTTTCCTGGCACTATAGTGGTCCTTTAATTCCTTCTAATTTTCTGTAATGCTCTGGCAGGCTACTTAGGGAGAGGGTTGATGCCCTCCAGATGACTGTCAGTAGAGGGTGCTGTGGAGCAGAATTTTGCTGAACACCCCTCTATTACTTAGGTAGTGTGGCAGGATGGCACTGAATACCAGGCTGTGGACCTGGTGCCTTTTTCTGTCTATGGTTTAACTGATATCCCCCTGTTAATGGGTAGGGAGAAGGAGACATATCATAAAAAAAGGAAGACATGTCATCAAGTTCTCCTTTTGGCTCAAGCCCCAGGTGTTTCTGGGACCTAAAAACGGTCTTGGAGCTTTAGAAATTGTTGTTCGGCAAGTGTGATAGATACATAGAATTCTAGTAAAAGCTAACAGAGACAAGTAATTCAGACATGCTATGGGTGCACGTAAGGTTATCCTAAAAGACTGATAAATAATATAATCATGCCCATTTCAAAAGAGCAAAGATCAGTCAGTGCCTCAACAGAAATTTTCTCAAACTCTAGCTAACAGACACGCACATGCTAAAAAAGGAATATCCATTTTCTCTACCTTTTTCTTTCTTTCAAATTACCACAACCTTGCTCATATAAAAATAAATGAGATGCAGATTTACAAAGGTTGATAACAGGTCTTCTACAGCATTATTACAAGTCCTCACACACTGCACATATCGACTTAAATTGTTATATAACAAAGTGCTGTCTCTGATACTAATTGTAGTTACTGTTAATGACCGAGAGTGGAAGCAAATGTCACATAGACAGAACAACACAACGCATATTTTTCAAAAAATATGGGACCTTTGGTTAAACCTTGGAGAGGTCCAGGCCCATAACTTATCTTAGATTAAATGAATGATAATAGCAGTCCAGCTGTTCCACACCCTGCGGTAGTCAGTCAGTTTTATTGTTATTTTTATGTTTTATTTTTTTTTAACATTTTTATTGATAATATAAAAATATAAATTTCCATGACAATATTTCACAGTTTACACAAGTATGTTATCATGACATGAATCAGCAACAAGTAGATAAAGAGCACACATCTGTAGCGGATGGCATTGGGCTGTCCTCAAAATTATGTGTATTCGTATGCTTTCGGTTAATTTTTGCCATATGTATGTAAAGTGTATGCAGCATTCGCCTGATTGTTCGGTAAAATCACTCCAGTTATTATGCGAGTGAAACTACCGAACAATCAGACCACCCCAGGAATAAGTGTGCCTCCAATTACCGTTCGCAACAATGTTGCAAACGGGTAATTGGCAATCAGTGCAGTGTGTGCTTTGTCCTCTGGGTGGCCGCCATTCGGGGGACGAACACGTGGCGGCGGCCATCTTAAACTCCCGAACAGCGGTGTTTTGCTGTGGAGTGTCTGGAACCCAAATCGGACACTTGGTTAGGCAAACACCGCTGAGCCCACTACACTGCCGTCACTTAGTGTAGAAACTACCGAACGGCTCCCCGTTCAGTAGAAAGAACCCCACGAACAACCCCACTTTTATACGAATCCTCCCCAGTCTCCATAACCCAAGCCGTTCGTGCATTTTGTTCCCTTTTTCTGTGACCGACCACAGGGCCAGAATGTATGGAACCCATTTCGGCTGTTAACACCAGTGCGGTCGGTCTTTTTACTACCTCCAGGAATTTCCCGAACCCCTGGTCCGATCTGGGTGATTTTTGAATATGTCTCTCACCCAGATCAGGGCTACCAGGGGATGTAATATTTAAAGGGGTACCCCTATGTTTAGGGGTACATCCAGAAAACCAGGGGAACTGTGTCCTTCATAATGGGATTATGAGTCATACTAAGGGGAGGGGATGTGTGGATGGCAACTCATGTATGATTGGTGTACTGTATAATTACTGTAAATACCTCCCTTGCATGGGAGAAAGCTTTAAAAGAAGGTTGAGTGATTAAAAGTTCAGTTCTGCTCCTGATGCCGTGTGTCGTCCAGTCATTGGGATTTATATTGGGATATTATTGGATTGACTTGCCTGCTGTAATTATTGCCTTATGGATTTTTAATACTTGTTCTTGAGCCTCATCTTGAGTGGAGATAACCTGTGGAATACCAGCTCTCTGCTAAAACATTGTTACATCATATCACATTTGTTTGTTTTTTTACATTTCTACAGTTGTGTATCCTACATGCATAGGTCAAACACATTCATAACAAGGGACCATGTCGTTAGTGTTGTAATATGTGACTCAAAATACTTGGTACTTTCCATGGGTACTGGGTAGGAAGAGTATATGTACAAACTGTGGTATCATACCTTAGGTTGGTGGAGATATGCTTGTGCTTCAGTAAATATCATAGGGTTGGGTTTAGGTGTCTAAGTATTATCCCCTGATTGTTCCTGTTCAGCACTAAGTGGTGGGAGTGTAGCATCAGTCAGTGAAGAGGTTGACCAGGCCAAGTTGGTCCGTGTAATGCCTTATGTCTTACAGTTGGTATGTGCAACCGTATGGAGAGGGATTCAAAACATGGAGCTTTCTATTTGTGTCTATTGTCTGACATTTGTATAATCTAGAGAGCATTGTCGCTTTGTAGTACCTTTCTCTCTGGGAGACTCCTAGGCCACCGCCCACCTTATGTCTTGTCAAAACTTCTTGGCTGTTTGTGTGCCCAGATGAAGGTATTGAAGAGTCGTTGAAGCTTAGTGAAAAATGATTTGGGTTTGGGCAGGGTTTGGAATAGATATAATATTAGGGATGTTTATTTGGCATAGCCAATTAAAGTGCGGCTTGTGCCATGTTGCCAGGTCTTTGGACATTGATTGGAATGGTGGTTCGAAATTTAGATCAAAGGTAGTGGCTAGGTTCACCAGTAGACAGATGCCTAGATATGTAATCGTCTTATCTGCCCAGGTAAAGGGGAAAGTGGATTGCAGGTGTACCCTTGTGGATTCATGTATGCGCAAAGGGAGAATTTCACTTTTTGAGAAATTGACTTGAAAAATTGAGGGTTTTGTTATAGATGGAGATTTCTTCTGGGAGTGGAGCCAGGGATGTGCTCGGGGTGTCTATTGTAAAAAAGAGGTCGTCGGCGATGCCGAGATTTTAAATTCCTTTTTTTGAACTTGGATACCTCGAATGGCTTGGTAGTCTTTGATGCCTTTAAAGAAGGGTTCCAATATGAGTATTAAGAGAAGAGGGGACATAGGGCACCCGAGTCTCGTTCCATTTCTTTTATGTTCTTTCTTTCCAATGTTTTGGTGTCAACCGACCCTACAGGTCCCCACTCTCCCACTCCCTACTTTTCATTTTACCATATGTGAATTAACATATTGCTAAAAGGAATAAGGACTCTATAATTACTTGCAATATATGTAAACCATGCAGAACTTAGGATAAGTTTCAAAGACTACGTCAGACAATGTAATATAAGCTGTTGTTTATTTCAATTCAAAAACAATGTATAATGTAAAACCTTTAATATGTTTGTAATGTACACTGTGAAAAACAAACTTTTAAGTGGAAAAAAATGTGAAGCATAAGTAGGACAGAATTACAGGGAACATGAACAGATTTTATTGGCTTTGATGTGGGCTGGTGGCGTCAGACCATATGCAGAGTGTATAGTGCTAATGTACAGTTGATGGTAATTTGTGGTTTGTGAATTGTGTCAAAGAATGTAGTAATTTGTAATGCAGATGACAAAAACAGGAATATTACAGGAAGATGTGAAAAGAGCCCCTTTATTCATGCTGTATGGAGTACTGCTTTGATAATCCTTGCTCCCTTCCTTGACATGCCATCAGGAATAAAGGCCCAAGGTAATGCATCATTTTTATAGTTTGCTTTCACCCCTATTCAGAGCGCAAGGATGGAACAGATGGTATGTGGTTTCTGTACTCATTACCAACACAGCCTCTTACAGGGACAATCTAAGCACCAAAACCACTTCATTTAATAGAATAATGTTGGTATATACTATTCAACCTTTTCAATGCCAAAATGAAAGTCCCAGTACTGCAGCACAAATATATATATATATATATTAAGGATTACTGTTTCCTCCTGAAGCCGCCAGAACATTCTTAGGGGTGTGATTTTCTAGTTTTCCTCTGACAGGAGTGGTCAATGTGAAGGTAGAAGGAGAGGTCTAAGTTATTGAAGGATAGGTTGCAATGATTCGAGTCATTAACTTGTTTCTTTTTCTACAATCCCCAAGTTCTAGGCTTCTGATTGCCAATATTTTTAGTCGCTTATTCAAGATTGCTTTTTGCATGTCTGGATTCTAGTTGCTTGTGGCAGGGGCTGCTTATTTACTTAGCCTATATGTCACTTCATCAAATGGGGTCTCGCTTTGGCCCTAATAGTCTTTTTACAGAGGGATCAACGTCCTTTGCCATGTGCTGACACCTGCAACTCCACGCTGGCACCAGATGCTAAATTTGTTTAAGCCTAAGGGGTTGGGGGTTGGGGCTTGTGATTTAATTTCAAGGTTCGACTAGGTGAAGGGGGCTTTACAGTGGGTATTTTTCTACAACCAACGGAGCTGGTAAGGTGGTTGACCTTACCATCATCTTGTAAAGTATTATTAAGTGCCTAACGTGATATTATTGTTTTGATTTTTTATAAAAATGTGTTCTGTGTTCCTGACAAAAATAAATATTGCAATGTCTGTGACTTATTTTCTTCCTCAGACTTACTATTTTGGTATTTCCCATATGTACAGCAAAGATTAGCCAATACAGACAGCTCTGGGTTATTACAAGACATTACAAGCATTCAGGGCAACTTAGCTGTGATCTAGCACTGAAATAATGTAAATGCATTACAATCAGTAAACTTAAGAAGTTCATATTTCACCTAAGTATTTCTGATTCTTATGTTGCTGTATAGTGTATTTTCTATCACCTCCTTTTACATAGCATGTGTAGTCACACTAATGTATAACATGCACATTCTCAATGTACCCTTAAAATATCTGATAACCTTTAGAGAAGCACAAAATATCTCCTGCAGATTACTATAATGGTTATGTTGCTGTGAGGGAGCTCTTAAAGAGGTCTGCACCCAATGGAAGTGCAGACCACTATGCTTTCTCGATGAACTGACAGATATAGGTATATAAGAAAAGTGTACAGTCAGGTTTCACTGTACATCAATCACTCCATGTGCTATAAAGAGAGCCATGTAGGCAAAGTAACAAAAGAGCCGTCTGACCAGCGAAACAATCGTCGTGGATCTGCTCTACAACTGGTTCTCTTACTTTGCCCACACGTCTTTCTTCATAGCACATGGAGTGATCGCAGTACTGTGGAATCTTGCTGGACATTTTTTTTCTATATCTCTATTGTTTTGTTTTTTTCCTTTTTGTACCGAAGCAGGGATTTTTTTAACCTTGCATATTGTAGCATGATTGGGTTGTTTAGTCTCTGGTATAGGTGCCCTCAAATACACGCTCAGGGACAGCTTGTGGGGGCTATATCCCTCCTATTTCATGAAATTTACTGGCTGTTATTTTCTACCATTATTCTACTTTTACTTCTATGTCTGGTTTTAATACAAATAGTGTGTTCTTATTTGGATACATACTATATGTTTTATGTAATTGCTGCAAGTCTTGATTTCTCTGCTACTGCTATTAGAATTACACCAAACGACATGTATTTATGACAAGATAGGTTTACATCCATTCGATTAGGGTGTGATTGATTACATTGATACCTTTTTTCTATTAATCCTGATGTTACAATCATATAAAATATAATACAGATCATGTCATAATATTTACTTTTTAGGCTGCCTTTTCTTTTTTCTTGTGTATTTTGACATTCGTTATAGCCCCCCCCCCCCCCCCCCTCTAGCTCTAACCTCTCTTGTCCGTTTCTAGCTGTCTTACAATTTATCATGTATTCTGAAGCTATAAGTATGCATTGGCTTACTGTAGTAATAATACCAGCTTGTAATAGGCCTATAATATTACTCCAGTTACTACGTAATGCAGCACCCATCATGTCCGGGCAGAAGTAGGCTGGCTGAAGTTGATAGTATTTGTAGTCTAAACCAGCTGGAATGTCTGAGGTAACTAATCCCCAGATAACATCACATGTTCACAGTTGGGGAATTGCCACAAGGACTACTAATAGGATTTGTGGATTAGGTAGTCATTTGAGGCACGTCTATGAAAGGTGTTTTATGTCTCGACCAAAGTATTAATTAATGTTTGTGAAATATCACATGCAAAATAGAGGACAATGTAACTGAAAGACCTCTATGGTGACGTTGTAAGGAAAACAATGAGGAAAAAATAATGAATAGAGGAGAAATGATAGGGGTATGAAAGCATGAGGGAGACATGTATAAACAGAAAGAAAATGGAAAGGTTAAGAAAACAGAACGTGAGAATAGGAAAGATAATTCTAGATAAAGAAAATGGCAGAAAGCCATTTTTGTTATCCATTTCTCAAGGGATCAGTGAACCGAATCATGATTTGCTCCACAACCCTCTTACGGTAAGTTAGAATTTTGCTCAATAAATGCTCAAGTTCTGCATTCTATGTAGAGGATATTCTGTGTAGTGTTTCTTGGACATTCTAAGACTGTCCAACATTTAGTTCCTTTAAGTTCAGAATTCTCAATTTGCCATTGCTACCTCTTGGCAACCATTGGATAGGTTAATAAAGTTCACTTCACACTAAGCCCAGTAGGCCAGTGCCCTCAATGAACTGACGTGATAATTGTGCTTATTAAAGTGCCACCTTTCAAATTTAGTGCCCTCCTGACTTCACAGATTATTATTAAACCTTCAACTTCCTATGCAACTCTGTACAACTTGGTCAGAAAAAAAAATAAGGCAGCTGTTCCTCTCAGTGACTCAATATAATACCCTAAAAGTACAGAATTCGATAGATTTTAATTTGGGGAAACAAAAGTCCCGACTGACTGTTTTTTAAGCATTCCTTTCACGTGTTTACAATCTGACAGGGCATGCTTCTCCAATATCTTTCAGTTCAAGAAATCAGAAAGAATTTCAACTTAATATAAACAGAGTTTCGTTGACCATAAGACAAGAATACTTGTAAGCACTCATGTGCAGGTGGCTGGCTCACTATGAGCACATTAGCTCTGCTTGCTGAGCTGATGTTTGTTTTGTCAGTAATGTTTCTGAATATCATCACTGGCGCTGAGAAAATATAGTCTGGCTTTTAAAGTTAAAGTAACCCAAAAGGAAGTGACGGGGACAGAGTCATCACTAATGACTTGCACACCCCTCAAAGTAAGCATGTAAGTTTGATGTCCCTCTACTGTGATTTGAACTTGAGTGCCTGGACCATCAATATTTTATTTGCAAATCACATTGTGAGAATTGGCCAACCTCAGGTCCGGTTGCACCGTGGGATCCAGGAGAGAGCAGAACCCATATTGGTAAATATATTGATGTCCCTCCAAGTCCGAAGTTCTCTTGCATGAGGGAAGCACCCTGTGTTTGTTTTATGCAGCACAAGCAAAATTAATTACATGGTTGCACTGTGTTTAAGCTGTCTTTGGAGCCCCTTAAAGGTAAATACCCTCTTCAAACCTACCTGCTCTTTGGAGATACAGGGCAGGGAAGGTCTCTTGCACATCTTGCCTCTGACATAGTAAGTTGAGAAGGCCATCCCCATGGACACACAGATGTAACTATTGAATCTGATCACAGACACCTTGTTTTTCACCATGGTGCTCATAGGGTGAGCTTTCCTGATCTGAAAGCAGTGGGTGATGCTCAGGTCCAGAAGGGAGCCCAGCAGTCCCACTAGGCATGCACCCAGATCTCTATGAGCTTGCGGTAGGAAGCTGAAGCTAGTAAGGCCAGTAGCCAGACCAGGCAGCTGAAGCCCCGGACCAGCCCACGCTGCCTAAGCATGGTAGAGGATGAGGAGCCCCACACAGCTCAGCACAGTCAGGAGCTGGGCCACAATCTGCAACCTGGCTCCTAGAAGGTCCCTGGAGTAGCAGCAGGCCACATAGCAGGCAGCATAGAAGAAGCAGGCACAGCCCAGACTGAAAAGTGGGCACAGAACATGGGAGAAGCGCAGCAGGATGGGCTGGGGGCCTGAGCAGTGACCAGTCTGCTCTGTTCCCCAGCATGATGAGGAATGCAAATCACACAGTGGAGGGTGCCCCGCCATGCAGTCACATCGCCATTCCAGGGCCCCTCAGACAAATCAGGGTGCATTATGTCAGCAACTGCCCCAGGAGCCATGCCCCAGACAGCCCAAGACAGCCCCATGCTCCCTCTGAGCTCGCTCTGTTTTTTCCTACCAGTGTAACTCATAGACTGCCTCACAGCCTGGGTCCCAGACCTCTAGTGGTTCCCCCATGCTCCCTCTGAGCTCGCTCTGTTTTTTCCTACTAGTGGAACTCATAGACTGCCTCACAGCCTGGGTCCCAGACCTCTAGTGGTTCCCCCATGCTCCCTCTGAGCTCGCTCTGTTTTTTCCTACTAGTGGAACTCATAGCCTGCCTCACAGCCTGGGTTCCAGACCTCTAATGGTAATGGGTACTATGTAGCAGAGGTCAACAGGGTGGCCTGGAGTGCGACCCTTGCAACCATTGTAGTTCCACCACTGTTTGTGTGTGTGGTTATAGAGACTTTACTGTATGTATGTACGGGGGATATAGGGGGATAGAGGCTTCAGCATGTGAAGGGGGTGCACATATTAATAAGGTTAATATAAATTATTTTAATCATTTTAATAATTAACATAATTACTTTTCTAAAAATATATCCTCCCTTTGTGTTACTTTTCTTGCATTCTTTATGGTACAAGTGGACTCTCTCTGGCATGTGCAGACCATGTTCCCATTTCTTTTAACCTTTCAAATGGACAAAGAGGGACACTTTAAGAGTAGGCGTGTGGACAGAGGTGGGCTGTGCTGTGCAAGAACAATGTGTCTTATTTACACAGACTGATTTCTAAACACCTTTATTGTAGTTTAAAGACACATTACTGTGAGAATTATTGCTGTGGAGTTCTGTTATGCACTCAGACACACCAATAATATAAAGCTCAAAAATTCAAAAACTCCCTTTCAAAAAAAGAAACTTGATCAGGCAAACTTAGCAGAGTAACCTTTGGACATGTTGCCCAAGTCTGTTCTCTAAATCATGTTTTTATGACTAATAATCGACTTGTTTGTTGAAATCTCTCTCCTAGCTGCCATCAGCACGCAACCTCTGACCCCTCCTTACCATTACTCCCTCCTATTACAATTTAAACTCATTCCTCTAATCTCTTCCCCTTCATCTCCTCTTGATATCACTGGATTTGTTCACCATCTCTCTGCCCACGTACTCTGAATTACGAGAACATTCTGCTTTTTTGTTATCTTTGTTTTTTGTGGAAGGGATTGCACAGGGATACAGTAACATGCTACGGGAAGTGACACAATATCCACAATTGTCCCCCAGTTTATTCTGTGATTTTATTTCTTGAGATGCATTAGACTCCTGTCTGTACTCACGCTGCCCTAATCTTACGAGTGTAACGTATTAGCTCACACAATAAAGCGTAATAACGAGGACAGACATAGCGTGAGACAGGGAAAGAAAACCGAATGGTTCCAGTAGTCAAATTAGCATCCAATCAAGGATAGTTAATGTTGTTGTTATTTATACGAAAATACGACGCAGACGTTAACACTGACACCATCACAAGCCTGTGTTTTGAATTCTAAGAGGAATACAGAATATTGAAATGTGCAAGAATAGGAAAGAGAAAAAAGTCAATCTTAGGGTTAGCTTAGTTAGGTTTCACTTGCATTATAATATCATTAAGCACCAAATGCTTGTGGTTGCCAACTTTCTTGCAAAAAAAAAAAAATGCATACATAAATATATATATGCGTGACATCATAGAATAAAAAATACATTTGGGAAAAATCCCTAAATCTCAAAAAACTACTTATAATTTGTTTTTGCTGTATAGAGGGGTTGCACAGCAGTTTGGGGAGATTGGACTCAGGAGTCTGTCACCATCAGAGGGGTACAGCTGATACAGATGTACAGGGCCCTTGCCATCTAATCAAGCCCAGGCACTCCAGCAGTGCATAAATATATAGTGAGCAATGCTTGCTTGCATAGTGAAGAGAGGGCTCAGGAGACATGTCCTCTTTTGATCCCCAACCTGCCACAGGTTACCCGGAATAATGACGGAGCTCACGAGAGAGGGAGGGAACGCCTGCCTGGAGTATAATCTGTAGTCTCCTGAGCCCCCTCTTCACTATACAAGGCAACTGGCAGCCTGCACAGTGCCACTGAATCACCAGGGAATGTAAAATTACTGATGGCAACCCTGCAGATGAGTGCTCAATATTACCATTTGCATTCTTGCAATATCATCACCCACCAGACAGCCTCAAATACTGACTAAGCCAGCAAAATACCAACCAGGCGGCAACCCTATGACATTTTACATTCTGCTGTCATCACATCCCATCATCTAGTCACTAAAGACCTTCTGCCAGCATGGAATGTATTCCTTATGTAGCTTTGGCAACTTCATTGCATTTTGGAATTGAATCTTTGATGATACGCTTTTTACGGTAGTGTCTTTGTAAAATAAATGTAACCCTGAGCGAGCTGTAAAGAATAAAACAACCAGTGCAATTAAGTAGGAAGTTACAATGTATTCCAACAATAATACTGAAATGACCTGACAACATCTAAAGAGACCATCATGGGGTGGATTTCAAAGTCCTCTATTTCATTGGTACATTATACACTTAAAGAGATTCTGTCACACCACACTTTTCTTCCTTAAATTGACTCCTCCTCTACTTCTCTCTGCGAATTCGGCCTTCTTTTCTTCCTTTCTGATCTCCTTCGCGTAAAATACATAATACTGAAGGGACTAATTTGTCTTCTGTATTTTTCCTACGCTTTACAAAGGGAAGCTTCACTTCCTTTGTCAAGTTAAATTTTCCCATAATGCTCACCTACCCGTCGTGTCCCTCATCTGTATGCTTGTGATTCCTCCTCTCTACTTCCCAGAACATTGTGCATGACAAGTACAGGCTAGTTTTCTTCCTGCTGTTGGACATACACGGACAGAAGGTCCACACGGAGTGTGGGCAGACAAGGTCAAGGAGAAGCGTCACTGTCAGGTTTCTCAAAATGGAGATGTTTTAGACCAAACCAAGTGTTTGCTTGAATAACTGTCACTGTCCAAATGTTTTAAATGTAATAAAGCGTGCACCCCGAAGAAACCACACTGACACAGAAAAGTACAGTTAAATGAAAACTTCCAAGTGTATTGTCAGGGGGGGGCGGGCATCCCCGTAAAAAGGCAAAGGAATGCAATGTGTGCATATACAGAAAGTAAAACTTTACAATTGGTTAAGGGTTAGATATTAGTAAATGTAAACATGTAATTGGTTAGGTGTTAAGTGTTTTATCTTGATGTACTTCCTCCAAGGTGTGATGTCATTATTGTCTTTGTGTGTAGCTCCGGATGGAGATGCCATCTTGCTACACAAGGGTCTTAGTCGATGGGAGGGGGTGCTCTAGCAGCCATTTTGAGTAATAAATGAACACAGGTATAGATAGTAAATAGACATTTTACACACATTAATTTCTATCCATCATAGAGACCCATTGATTCGATGCCACAGCCAAGGACAATGAAAAGAGTGAAAATGGGGACAACAATAGAAAGACACACATTGGGGGGAATCTACCGACTAGGAGAGCCAGAGAGGACATAAAAATGGCTCAGGCAGGGATTTGTTTCTGGGCTGAATGCTTTTTAACCCCTAAAAGAAAGCTGGTGACAGGGACATCCTTGCACCATAAGAACTTAATTCCAATAAAGCTGTCTTTGGACCCAGAGTGTTCATTTAATTTGCCAAATGTTAGAAACTGTTAGAAATTATGTAATCGGGTTGTTATTTGTCTCTTAGTATTACAGGGGACTCTGGACTAACCAGGGCCGCCATCAGGGGGTGACAACTGTGATGGTTGTCACGGACCCGGTGGCCCTGGGGGACCCGGCCGCCCGGGACCCACGTGGAGCGGCGAAACTGCCGCAGGTGCATCTGCACCGGGGCCCATCAGATGGCCCAAGCATTTAGGGCCACCCGATGGGCCCTGTATCTTCAGGGGCCCGGTCAGCGCTGCGCAGGTTGATTGCGCGACCGGGCCGCTTTAAAAAAAAAAAAAATTGTGGCTAAACATCGCAAGTCACTTCCTCCCAGCTTACTCCGCACGGGGGGAGAGCGGAGGAGAGGGACACCAGAGGCATCCACTCCCATCATCCCCAGCCACCCTCCTGCAACTTAAAGGTAAGAGGAGGGTGGCTGATAAATGAGGTGTGTGTGTCTGCAAGTATGTCTGTATGTCTGTCTGTGTGTGTGTGTATGTATGTCTGTGTGTATGTCAGTATGTGTGTGTATGTCTGTGTGTGTGTTTGTGTGTATGTCTGTGTGTGTGTGTATGTCTGTCTGTGTGTGTGTCAGTGTGTATGTCTGTGTGTATGTCAGTGTATATGTCTGTGTGTATGTCTGTGTGTATGTCAGTATGTATGTGTGTGTGTGTATGTCAGTATGTATGTGTCTGTGTGTATGTCAGTATGTATGTCTGTGTGTATGTCTGTGTATATGTCAGTATGTATGTCTGTGTGGGTGTCTGTGTGTATGTCTGTGTGTATGTCTGTGTGTATGTGTATGTCTGTCTGTGTGTGTGTGTGTGTGTCAGTGTGTATGTATGTGTGTGTCTGTCTGTGTGTCTGTCTGTGTGTATGTCAGTGTGTATGTCAGTGTGTATGTCTGTGTGTATGTCTGTGTGTGTGTATGTCTGTGTGTGTGTATGTCTGTGTGTGTGTCAGTATGTCTGTCTGTGTGTGTGTATGTCAGTGTATGTCTGTGTGTATCTGTGTATGTATATATCTGTGTGTGTGTGTCTGTGTGTGTATGTATGTATGTATGTATGTATATCAGTATGTATGTGTATGTATGCCATTATGTATATATGTCAGTATATATTTATGTGTATGTATGTCTGTATGTCAGTTTGTATGTATGTCTGTTTCAGTATTTGTGTCTGTTAGTATGTGTGTATCTTTCTGTGTGTCTGTGTCCTTTTGTGTCTGTGTGTGTGTATTCCTGTGGGCGGGATTTGGGGGTGGGGCTA